AAAAAAAAAAAAGGGAACGTGTTTGTCTTGTTCTGTCTCACAAACTGAGCTGAAACCCTGCCCAGCAGATGTATTCACCACTAGAGAGCAATGTGAGCCATCTTAAAGAGAAGGGATCCTGAGACTTTGTGCGTTTGAGTGTCAAGAAATGCTGTAGACTTCAAATATGACTTATTTAAAGTGGGATTATTTAAATGTCCTCCAAATGGCTAACCCTAAACGTGAACACAACCTCTGTATAACCTACACGCTCATCGTAAAATAATTGTTTGACGAGTACGGACTGAAATGATGAGTGTTTGTGTTGCTAAAGCCCTGGAGCAGTTTGAGACACCTGATGGTGCAAGTCAGATTCTGGAGGAGGAGTTCAGGCCACCGCACGCCAAACAGAAGCTTCACAGCGTTTACCTGACATTTCTCCTGCTGTGTCTTTATTTATTGGCCATGTTTAGGTGTGTCAGCGCCCCAAATTCAGCTGCAACACATCTAAATTGAGTACTTTCTTTAGACTTCAGCAGTTTGTAAAAAATCCCCAGAACACAGTTCAGAGTTAAATTATGCCAATTGTTCTTTTCAGAGTCTTAGGAGTGTCTGATTGGTGTCTGGATCTGATCCTGACATTCCTCACGTGCATTGTCTGCTCCAGACAGTCTCTATGCAGCCACTCACTTCTTATTTTTTCTCCAGTGGGCTGGGATTATTCGCTGGCTGCCTCACACGTGGAATTTTTCACTTCCTACTCGCAGTGAAGACACAACTGCTGCAATCGGCTCGAAGAGGCTCACGGCAGAGGTTGCAGCATTTTTTTTGTGTGTTTCTACATGTGAAGCATGGTTAGGTAAGAGGTGTGTGTCTCTGTAAAAGAGCTGGAGACACAAACTGCCCCTGGACACAGGGCTGTCCTATCAGGAGCTAAACTGTTTTTTTTCGTAAACAGAAGGATTTCAAGAAAACTGTTGAAGGACAATGTGAGTGAGTACTGTTTTGTTACAGGAGAGAGGCAGGAATGTGAAACTCAAACTATCCAAGCCAAGATTTGTATCAAATTCTTGTCATTTTTGTCAGTGGAGTCTTTACCTGTAAGATATAACTGACTCTAAACTAATTGAAACTAACTAAGACTTAAGAGATTAACTAAATACTTAGATCTACTTAGAGTGAAAAGTAAAGTTACTTTTACAAATACAGATGATCCACTCGAGCTGCTGTATTTTCCAACTGGTCAAAGCAGGAAATCTGGACACTCCTGCTGTCCAGTTCCCCAGAGACCTACAAAGCATGTCAGCATCTGCTGCTCAACATTTTAGGTTTCAGGCCTCCATAATGTTTTCCTAACAAGCCTAAATGGAACCTTTATGAGATTATTTACAGCTTGGACCCAAGTGAAGATAAATAAATTAGCAAGAGGTCAGGCATGCAGGATTAGCATTAAAATCGCGGTTGAATTTTTGTCTAAAAAAACAAAACACAAGGCAGGTACATGCAGGTGGATACTTAAACCCTGAGGTAGCTGCAAACAGCTACTTTAAAGGAAAAAAATCACATGCCTATAAGGCAAAAAATGAGAAATAGGTAGTTATTATTATGTAATGTTTGTACTGAAGAATGCTGTCAACTACAGTGCATGAAAAATGGAAACCTACCTGAGTTGAGTGGTTCTGGATTCAGCACTGTCTCCATCTTCACCTGCAGGATCAGCTTCAGACTCGCCTACATTTTCTCTTACAACCTCTTCCAGTTCTGTGGCCACACATGGATCCTGGCCAACACCATTGCCCGGTTTTTCACATTTGGTCGAGGTATGAGGACTGAGGAGCAAATCGTACAGCTCTTTAGAACAGCCTCCATCTTTTCTGAGTAAAGAGAAAACCCAACTCTTGTCGTTGCAGATGCTTTAGCAGACACGTTCTACTCGGTGGGCTTCGTGATGAGTCTGTGCCAGCTCCTGTCCGTCCTGGAGCTGTTCCACATCGCTGATGGGATCGAGAAAGCCAGACTCCTTCCTCGCTTTGTTCAAGTGACCCTCATTCATCATTTAATCATTCATCTGTTTGTTAAGAAGCCGTGCATGACGTGGCTCTCTTTTTATTTTCAGGTGATGGAAAAGAATGTTCTGCTTATGATAGTTATCATGCTGGAGGATATCCAGAGTAAGCCGGTGGTGTGTTTGCAGCTCTTCTTGTGGAATATTCTGGACCTCTTACGGTACGCAGAAAGGCCATGACATTTCTTCTTATCATACAGCATTGGGAAAGCAGTGCAAAGGAAAGATTTTTTTTATGTTTCATTTCAAAATTGATACAAGAATGATACAAGTTATTGCAATTGTGAGAGGCCGGAGGATCTCTGAACTCACCAGTTGATTTCAATAGTGTAGGTTTTTAAAAGACTATGGTCATGAACAAACTTGCCTGGGCAACTTCCAAACTCACCGACAAGGCCCTAACCCTAACCCTAACCCTAACCCTAACCCTAACCCCAAGTACTCGTCATGGAGGGGAAAAGAGATCAAATTAAACCATACTGGTGAGATTAGAAGTCCCATGTTGCATTTCGTAGTAGTCAGCATCAAGAGTGGACATTATTTCAGGAAATTCAAAAACATGTTTTGCTCATTGAAAGACAATTCTGTCTTTTAAGTGCCAGGAGAAAGAAACTCTTCGCAAATGGAACTGTAAAATTATCAAATAACATGGGTCATAGTGTCTTTTGCTGATTTTTCTCATTAGCATAACCCAAAGAAAATGATTGGAAATTAAGAAATGAAGGATGGTGCTTGAAATTAGCAGGATATATCAGATAATTGAAGATGGAGTTTCACATTCAGTATGTAAATTACCGTAAGCATGCTACTAAAACAAGACTAACAAGGTTAAAGAGAAAAAACGTCAGCCATCTTTGATCGACAGTCAAAGCTCAGAGCTCTACTTTAGAATCTGCTGTGTTTAGACTCAAAGATTTCTAAACACTCTGTACCCATTCAGTGGTTCTGCATTGAAGAATGTACCACAACACATTTGTAAAGACTTTTGTTATTTCCTAGTTGGGCCAGTCGAAATGTTTGGTTACAACAAGAAAAAGGTCATAGTTATGGCCCATACACACCCTTTGTACAACCAGATTGTAAGACTTTTGTGCTGTTCTTCCCTGTTAAGGTTGACTCACAAACTCAAATTTGGTTCCAGTTGCAGATCATTTAAGAATGAGGAAAATTTAAAAGTACAATAAGCTTGTAAGATTAAACAATTCTTTGTAAGGAGCGACGGGGTCTGAAACGTCTCCATGCAACTTACATTTAAATGATTATTCCTCTGGTCAAAACAGTGAGATAGGTAGAAAAAACAGCCAGAGGATTGCAGAAAAATTTTACGAAAAGTTCAATTCCATGTTCTTAATTTCCTTGAAAAAAAACAAACAGATCCAACAAAAGACTGGATAAGAAAAATTCCCCAACATTTCACGGTGTTTGGTGTTCTAACAGGTACCCCCATGAGCTGCTGTGTGTTCTGGACACACCCTCCACCACCATGCTGTGGGTCCGCTACTCCCTTTGGATCCCTTTCTACGTCCTGTCAGCCACCACTGAGGGTAGGCCTGCACGATAACTGCCATCATTTTGTGAGTCAGGAATTCCTAGCCTGAGCGCTGCTTTTTGGGGGTACTGAGGAAATGAGCTGACACAGAACATGACATAGTAACAACTCAGGAAGTGTGAAAACACTTTCCAACTGAGTGTGTGCTGACCACTGTGGTGGAGCCCCAGGATATCATCAACACACACGCCTTATTCTCTACAAAGAAAATAAATAAATTGACCCGTTCAAAACATTACAACTGCTTTGAATGATAACACTGTAAAGTGTGAAGTAACTTGCTCCGTTTTAGCTGTGTTTCTCGTTCTGTTTCAGTTTTTACCATTTACCAGGCCCTACCTTACATCAGAGCTACAATGTCCCACCCCATGGACGTCCACCTGCCCTTAGCCCTGGTGCTCTACCTGTCCGCTCTGGCTCTGGGTAAGGGAAAGGAAAAGACCTGACCGGTCAAACAGGATTAAAATAACTGGATGTCACTTAAATGTCACAGAGTAGGAATCAGGTTACAGGGGTGCTTCTTGTGGTCAATTCTTGGTAAAGGTTCATTGGAAAGTGTTCTGGTGTGTAGCTGCCCGCTCATCACAGAGATTACGTCTGTCATCATTTGAAAATAAAGTGAAAATATCACAATTTTTTAACTATTTCTTGGCCTTAGCCCTTCATCCCAACACACATTTTTAATCCTGTTAAAAGAGGAGTCCCGGGCTTTATCTCATTTTCCAATTTGTACAGACTCACTTCCTCCCCCTCAACTTCCCCCGGCCTCCATCCCTGCCCCCCCCCAACCCGAGGAGAAATAGACAGGCGGGACAGGCTGTCCACAAGATAAGACAGAGCCATGTTAAACCGTTTCTTAATTCCATTTCAGCGCCTTATTCCAATATTTCCGTTTTACATGTCACATATTTACTGCTACTTTAGTTTAAGATGCAGATGGCATGCCACGTAGCGTTTACACGCTGTGGTTGCCAAAAAGACTTTTGGACACCAGGCTGCGTGCTCCTTATGACTTCTACAGAAAGCCGCTTCTCAGTGTACCAGGTGCAGTCTGGGAAATGAAATCATGAGTTTCTGGGACTCCGAAAAAGTCAGAATGTGTCCCAGAATCCCATAAAGCCCCAAAGAGTGAGGAGTAAGAGGGACTAGTTGACTGTGGCTGTTTGTGTGTGTGCGTCTACGCTACAAAATACACCACACACACACAACGAATTAAGTCATGTGGGAGTGACCCAGGGTTGGGGGAGTTTTTGGCCATATTATTTATTCATATTCATTCATTCATTCTTTAATAGTTTAAGACAGGTATGTCTTCCATCAGTTCCCTTTAAAAGACTGTACACTCATTACCGTGAGTCAAGATATAGTCAAGAGCTTTCTCAAAAGATACAATAGTGTACAGACCCTCTGAGTAGAGCACCCTGGATGTCCCAGAGTGTCAGTTTCACCATAGTGGACACTTTTGTTGTTTAATTATGGTCGATGTTCTACAGTACACCACCCAGAGAGGCAGGAAAGGAAAGCTTGGATTAGCGGGCATCCAGTGTTTGGATGAATATTGGCACAAAACATTATCTGCTCAACGAGATTTCAAATGAGCAGACAACTTTCTAAGAGTAGAAGTGTTTTTTTCCAGGGGCCTCAGTGACAGTCTGGCAGCTGCTGAAGGAGAGAAAACACCTACTGGACAAACGGAGCAAGAAGAAGAAGATAAAATAACAGGAATGGCCAAAGAATGAACTGTGAGCAGTTTGAGTCTTTCAGGAATGCAAACTATAATAAGATAATGTAACGATGTGTTGCAATTAAGAGCATTTTGAAGGAAAAAAAACACACAAAATCAACTTTGTTACAAAAGCATTATAAGTATCACCTTTAATGACAGACCAGACTTCTTATCAATACTTTTACTGACCAAATATGAGATACAGAGACTGTCCAGAAGCCCCCACTTCATTGTGTCCAACCAGCCGGGCCAGAAAGGACCCTCAGTGTGCGTCACCATGGCGACAGCACATTGTCCTTCCTCTACCAGCCATAAGCCCTGGTCCACACGGCTTTCTTCCTGAACTCAGCGGAGGACTTTAGGGCCAGGAGAGCAGCTGAAAGGACAGCAGACCGGTCAGCAGCTGGACCTCTGGGGCCTGTCCTGGAGGTTTATTTAACTGAAAATACTTTAATGATGTAAACACTCAGCAAAAAATGACACCTGCGGATCAACGTTCTAAACGTTAAATTAAAGGTTCATAATGGATGTGCACCTTTCTACCCGTGTGAATGCCAACTAAGTACTTTGTACTTTTTTTTCTTCTTCTTGTGTTTTATTGGAATCATAACATTGTGTCTTCCTGAGAAAGGCTCCATGGAAAAACCTTGGATTGTAACTGTAGAGAAAAGGGCTCGCAACAACTGCCTATCTGAAGAAATCTTGAAATAATACCTGAATGGTGCAGATTTCACACAATTCAAAGTCCCCATGTGGCAGTTTTTTTATGTAATCTATCCACCCATTGTCTAAACTGCTTATTCTGAGTAGGATCACAAAAGACCTGGAGCCTATTCCAGCTGGGCCAGTCCATGGATATGTTATTAGATCATGCTAAAAAAAACAAATCTATAATGCCTCTAGGACTATGCTGGAAAAAAGGAAAAAAAATCAACTTAAAGTTGCATTGTAGAACAACAACTAATAGCTTTGAATAAGTTTTAAATCATTTTTCGTGGCTTTATAACTAATTTTGTTTTCATTACTTTGGTATTAACCATTTATAACTGTTTATTCTTGTATTCATGACACTGATCAGATTTTTTTGGCTTGTTTATGTGTATCCTTGTAAGCTGCTTTGGATAAAAGAACACTCAGAAAATGTAAATGCGAATTTAAGCTTGTTGCAACCTCCAATTTGACCACAAGATGTCAGGAACTCCTGCATGCTGATGGCTGTGAGTGAGATGTTGTGTTACCTTTGGCTGTGTTGATGGTGGAGGGGGACAGATTCTGCTCAGGACCTTCTGTCACGCTGAGGAGCCAGTCAATAAACTAAAACACAACACACAGTTAGCACATGAGACCCATGACCCATCTCACATACAGTGGGGGAAATAAGTATTTGACCCCTTGCTGATTTTGCAGGTTTGCCCACCCACAAAGAATGCTTATTTTTCCTAATCAGATGGTTATCAATTTTTATAAATTCATATGATATGATTTTCAGGAATTTTCTTTGGGATTCTGTCTTTCACTGTTAGAATGTACATATGATTAAAGTTATAGATCGTTGCATTCTTTGTAAGTGGGCAAACCTGCAAAATCAGCAAGGGCTCAAATACTTATTTCCCCCTCTGTATATGGAATGATGCAAGAAAATAAGAGCTCGGCAGGCGGATGTTTGGTAGGAACCCTAACCTTGTGAGTCTGGGCGCTCCAGGGCTCTTTACCCAGCAGCAGGGGTAGGCTGTGGGACACGGCCAGCATGCACTGGGGCAGGGCCCCGTCCGGGAGCGACTCCTCAAAGTACAAACTGTGTGTTAATGACGCGGGCTTGGAGTCGGGCTTCCATGGAAACCACTGGGCCCTGAGGCCAAAGAGGAGGGGCATGGAGCGGTCACCCCAGGAAACTACAGCCGCGGCAAAGAGCTGGAACAGGAAGTCTGTGGCCTAGAGACAAAAGAGCAAATAGATCTTCAGCTTCTTTTGATCATATCTATTATCCTAACAGCACAGATCAAACAGGCATCAGCACATCAGACAGTCACTCAAGTAATGGCTGTTTCAAATCTAAATCCCTTAAATCCTGGTGCACATGCAGGCCCAAGCTGCTTTTACTGAGTTTAGCTAAAGCAGCAACCAGCCGTACATGAAGCTTCAGTAGTACATCCAACACCCACGTTAAGGCCAGTTCAACTGTCGGTTCAGTTGTTTGGTTACGGCTCACTAAACTATCAATCTTCAAAAATGAACCGATTAATGGTTAACTACTAAATTAGAGCACAGAGTAAAGAGAAAGATAACTTATGGATCCTAAAATCTAAAACAAGAAACTACATGTCAATTGTCTACTAACAATCTTTAAAACTGGAAACTTGTAGGAGTTTCAAAAATATATTATCAGAATGGCTCTGAATCTCCAATTATGCTACAGCATCTCCCCAAGTTACTCTGATGATGATGATGATGATGATATAGTAAACCACTGTCACACTGTTTGTGTTACTGTTACAGGATAGGACAATCCTCAAAGAAGTAAATGTAGACAATTAAGCATAATTATCTCATGGAAATGCAATTCCAGAATGAAAAAGATCAAATCTTTGTGACCTGGATCAGAACATCTAAAAACATATTGGAATCAAGACTAAACCAGCTCACATATAAGTGGACACGGGACATTATTATGTTCCCTGTTACTCAACAAAAACATTTTCCTGGAACAATCCGGTGTACTACTGTAATCATGCAGTGTGTTTTCTGAAATACAGATCCTAAATCTTCCTGAGCTCTTCAACTGGGCTGAGACACGGTGCATGTCATTTGTCATTCTCATCAAATCAGCCACCCTCCTGCTTTATCAACTGTCTAGCTGGATATGGACCCAAATAAAAATAAATATATTTCAAATTTTTTTTACAGATAGAATCTAATAGCTGAAAGCTGCACATTTGGAGTATTCTAAATTGATCAAATCCGCTGTATTTGAATGATTTTGCTGGAACACACTCAGTTCTTGACACATTGGTTTATTTGGCCTCTCCATGCCTTACATTTACGTTCCCTGCTTCACATGCATGGGTCATTATTAGACCTTCAGCTGGCCAGTTTACTTAAAACAGGAGTGTTCACACAGTCATATGTTGAGTCAACACCGTCTAGTGGCAACAAAACTGATTTTGGGGGGGATTCTATTATGGCTCAGAAACATACCAGCCTGGTGTCTCCACAGGCCACGGGGGTCGCTCCGTAGGCAACGTTCCGGATGTGTCCCATCAGCTCCAGGAGCCACTCCATCTGTTTGGAGACACCTGGAGAACACACACACACACACACATCGTCTGTAATGACATTTAAAGATGAGTTCTTTGATCCTGTGTTAAAAAGGAGCACAACAAAATTTTTAAAGATTGAAGTCAGTGGCTTAATTTTCTTGCATAGCTTAGGAGCCTATTAGGAGGAATCCTGAAGGCCTTTTCAGCGGTTTCTGGGTTGACCTGTGTTGGGGCCGGCAGCCAGACCGGACTGGTAAAAGGTCAGCAGGAGGAGCCAGCCTACTCTGCGGCTGGGCCAGCCACGCAGCACCCCCGCGATGACATCGTTCAGACTCAGAAGGGGGAGCCTGCCCTGAGAGGTGAGGTAGGACAGGAGGAAGCAGGTCTTTTCCATCTGAGCCTAAACAGGAAACAGATAATGTCCACAAATGAATCTGAAGTTAAATACAGGGAGATCACCTCACATTGGAATAGAAACACAAAATCCCAGTAAAATACAGCATGTACTGTACAGAGATTTGTCTGAGTTCAGGTGTACCTCTGAAACCTGAACGATCCTGTCGATTTCTGTGTCCGACATCTCAGACAGACACTTGGCGACGCCCACATACAGATCCACCTCTGCATCCTGAAACAAACACGCCTTGGATGAGCTGGAGACCATAACTTAGACCACAGGATGCTGGTAAAATGCTGATAAAATGTCAGGCTGAGCTCTACTTTAGGGGGGAGGGGGGCTGTACTAGAGGATGACACGGGAGTGGATTTTCACTCCCGTCCCGTCCCACTCCCAGACCAAAGTTTAAAAAATAATCCCATCCCATCCCGCTCCTGTTTAAACTGACTCCCGCTCCTGTACCGCTCCCATATATTTTTTTTCTTCAATTAGTGTTTAGTCTTACAAGCAGCGTACATTGTGCTAGCACCGTCACATTCTACTCTCATAAACTTTTATAATATTTCAGACTGTCCGACCAGTTCTGTGAACTTAATAGACATGTCATTACTTCTGACTTTCCGCTGTAAATCATTTTTTGCCACATCGACTTCTCCGCGGCTGTTAGCTCCCTCCATCACTGCTCTTTGAATTCCGGCGGTAAGCCGTGACAAAAAGCCCTGATGGCTTCTGGGACGGCTGGGTCATGTAGTTATTTTTTAATTGCGTTACATTGTAGGCATAAAGGAAACTACAAAATGGTGCATTTACTTTTTTTTTTTTTCGTCTTTGCTATTGGTTGATTCCCGCTCCCGTCTGCTCCCGTTAACCATTTATCCCGTACCGCCCAAATCCCGTGATTAATAGCAAAGATGACTCCCATCCCGCAGGAATCCCACGGGAATCCCGTGACCCGTGGGATTCCCGAAAAAATGTCAGCCTCTAGGCCAGTGTTTTTCAACCTTTTTTGAGCCAAGGTACAGTTTTTCATTGAAAAAATCTCTAGGCACACCACCAACCAAAAATGTCAAACAACTCTGTATCCGCCTATAGTAACACTATAGTTATTATTATCTTCTTAAGTGTCTTGAATAGGAATCAAATAAACACAAAAATGTATTTTTATCATATTTTATATTTCTTCTTTCAAATTGCTCTTAACATGTCCACTTCAATATACAAAATTATATACAAAATCTAGTCATAAGGAATTATTACATGATTACTCCACCAGTCACTAGAACAGCAAACACACTCAGAAATGGAATATTATTTACAGAAAATTATCAAAATTTTGGTGAAATAGGATGATTTTCTACGGCACACCTGGCCATCACTCACGGCACACTAGTGTACCGAGGCACGGTGGTTGAAAAACACTGCCCTAGGCTGTACCTGGAGGCTGTCGGGCAGCAGGGCGTAGATCTTCTCCGTGGTGGAGCAGAGGATGGTCCAGCAGCTGCTGGGGGGGTTTGGCAGGGCCATGGCCTGAGCCAGACCCTGCAGCAGTGAGCGGCACAGAGCCGGGCGCTGGGGGCGCAGGTCCTGCTGGAAGTGCTGCAGGCCCAGGCTCTCCACGCACACCTGCAGCTTGTCCTCGGACACGTGCCTCATCCATGAGCCCAGGCTCTCGTAGAGGTGGGCTCGGGTCCGGGGCTGTGGCGTAGGAAGGGAGGATTCATTTTTTCTACGTTCAGTCTGCAGGAGTTCAGCTGTGGTGCGCCGTGTGGAAACATAGCTGTGAGCCAGGATATTTCTAGCATTCCTGAAATGCCTTTATAATTTTGACACATGGTTTTTCCACATTTGGTTACAGCCCTTTTTCTAAAATGGATGAAATACATCTTTGCCCCCAAAAGTCTACACACAAAGGTATCTTTGAGTTCTTGGAACGGGCCATAGAGAGGATACGGTCTAATACCTCTTTTTTGTCTGGTGTCACATCTGGGTCAGGATTTCTTTTTTCCATTTAAAAACTTTAAATAAAGGGGCACAAATAAATGTACAGTAACACATGTGTGCTGGTTGTGAAATGCAAAGTCTTAACTTGTAGAAACCATTTAAATATTGAACCATTTAAATATTTTTGATGGCATGAACTGTTGTGTAGTCTGACAGACAAGTTACACAAGATGCCCTCGGGAAGAGTTTTTCCCAAAAGTCCCAAAAGGATTCTAGGAACATGAAATACAATTCTCTGGTCTGATGAGACTGAAATGGACCAATTTGGCATGAATGTCGGGTGTCATGTTGGAAAGAGCCCAGACTTAAATCTGAGTGGTGCAGGGATAATCATCTCCTCACTGTCACCAAAACCAAAGAACTCGTTCTTGATAACTGTAAAAAAAAACACACTCCCCAGTTGGTAAAGTTTGACAAAGAGAAATGTGTGAAACTGCCCAAAGATAGGGTGTATCAAGCTTGTGGCATCATAATCAAGATGATTGGGGCTTTAATTGCTGAAAAAGTTGCATGAGCAAAGCCTGTGAATACTTATGTCTGTGTAATTTCCTTTTATCTCAAATAGATCTTTATAAAATCTATTCATTTCTTTGTGTTGTCATTATAGGGTTTTGTGTGTAGAGTTTTGAGGAAATAAATCAGTTTATTTCTCTTCTGGAATAAGAGATTCTGTGAATAGTTTCCGGATGCACTGTGTACATCAATCTGAATAACTAGTAATGAACTCTGTTCTTAAAGATTTTTTTGAAAAGGAGCTTACACTGACACTGTGTACAAGGGGGGGTGACACCCAGGAGCCCAGGAAGAGAGAGGCGTTTTTGGAAGACTGAGCTTGAGATGCTGCCAGCACCATACACTGATGCTGGACATCCTCTCCTGTCAGACATTATAAGAGGGGGGGGGGCACAGAAAAACCAACAATTTAGCAGTATTAACAGTGTTTTACAGCATTTGTCCTTTCTTACAATGTGGGATTGCTCTTACCGAAGCTCAGCCTCATCAGAGGAGATAAGACAGCGCTCCAGTTTAGGGGGGGGGTACTGGAAACTGCCTCCAACCGATGCCAAGGAGGCCAGAGCTGTCTTAACCACGGCTGGATGGGAAAACTCTGGACCTGGGTCCGTGGGGAAATAAGATTATCTGTCGTGCTTTGCTGTTTGTAAGATAGATTGGTTTTCATATTCACAAACCTTTCTTTCCAGCCTCTATGAGAAAGTCTGTGATGGACCTGATGACACTTTTCTCTGAGAGGTAACTGAAATCCTGAGGAACTGAGGAGATAGCAAGAAGAATCATGTGAGGTGAATCTAAAAGAACTAATGCGACTTACACAAATAACTACAAGAAACATAGCTTTTTCTCAGCTCACTGTTGGTGGATAACTAATATTTGCACACATTGTTGCGAAAGTGCTATCCATCATCAATCAGCTTAATGATGGATACACATATATATACACATATAGTTTTTTATGTATATATCTAGCTATATTATATGAGGAATTTTGTATATATATGTATATATGTACAGACATGTATATATGTATATGCCTTTGTTTTACTTATGGAGCCTGTAACAAAAATAATTTCCCTCTGGGATTATTAAAGTATTTCTGATTCTGATTCTGATTCTGAATCCTAATTTCCAGAGTGTGTGGACACACACCTGCTGTATGACTGTGACTTGTGGACATGTGCGCCAAATACAAATGGCCCATCAAACAGGCACTGTTGGACTGCAAACCAATGGCCCCGGAATAGGTTACTATCTGCAACAGAAAGCATAAACACCCTCATCACGCTCTGGCTTATATGAAAGCAAAGTCAGCGATTAACAGCAACCAAAGAACAGTCCCCCGGTTTAGGACAATGAGAAGGGAGGAGCTTAACTCTTACCTGTGTGATGGCACGAATAACCTCGTTCAGTCTGCTCTGCTGCTGGGTGGAGAGCTCCAGCTCACTCTTCAGCTGCCGAAACACAGAAAAGGTTTAGGGCCTGATTTCTCTATTTTATAAAAAAACAAAAACAGAACACTGCACTAACAGGAACAGCTACAGGAAAAAAACAGCTTGTTTTTGTCCCATAGGGGATGAATACTCTCATTACTATTACAACAAAACTATTTCTTGCTAACAGCAAAGCACAGACAGATAACGGATTAATAAATACACCTGCAGTCCCCCGTGAGCCCACTGAATAAAAATGCTAATCCAAGGACTAAAGATCCAGAAACACTACCAATATACCTCCCACACTGTGAGCAAAGCTTTTACCTGAACGAGGTAACTCTCTGATCCCACCAGAGCCACCAGCCCATTGGCAGCAGCCAGCCGCTGCATGGTGGGACACCCCTGAAACAGAGACAGCCCGTCTGCTCACTGTGGGACTCTGAACAAGTAGAAACACAGCAACCCACACGCCGACGGGGCCGAGACGATGGCACGATCAAAAAACAAAGAAAACAACGTGTTGTGGTACCTCGGCCAGCAGGATCTTGATCCAAGCGGCCAGCAGGCGAGGGTGGATGTCCTCGGCTTTACCGTGGCCACTCACCGACAGGCCGTGGATGACCAGGCCCAGGGCCAGAGAGAAGCCCGGGGTCTGGGGACAGCGGGGACACGTCAGAATGACAACTTTTCAAACCCTAGTATGGAGGTTCAGTAATGTGCCAATTGCAAAGCAAAGACTTCCTAAGCTGGAGGTTTAGAAGTTTTTAGGCAAGAAAAAATACTTCATTTGATGAGCAGAAATAAGCTGACACTATGATGGAGAATTTCTCATTTAAAAAGAGGAATTGTGGCTGGAGGAACTGGTAAGGCTCTCTCATTTGGAAAGAGTACGGTGCTCATTAGCAAATAACTTAAAGCGATTCAACAGAACTTTAGCAATATATTAATAACCCTATTTGAAGAGTATTTGTTTTGGTTATCGGTGTGATCAGATGTAAGTCCCAGGAAAAGGGGAGGAGGGTGGGTTGGGGGAGGTGATTGGGTCTTGAGAATGTCCTTATTTATGTCACTTTTGTTTTGTTTTAATTTTGTATTGTCTTTATGTTTTATGTTCACATAAATTTAAAAAAAGAGAACAAACATGTATCGTTCAGGTTGTAATTCTCATGTCTGATTTCTCAATAAAACAGTTTGACAATAAAAAAAGAGAAAAACAACTTGGTTTTTACAAAGCTAGGTCAGGCAGCTAGAAAGAGATAAAGTAAGATAAAGTAAGATGAATTAGTGGTGACTAACTCCCCCTGACCTGCTGGCTCTCCTCCGTCAGCGTGCGCACACTGTTCATGAGCTCTTCAGCCTTGTCGGCGTCAATAAGACCTCCACTGAAGGCGGAGACGCCCACACATGCCACGGAGTAGGACAAGACCTGAAGAGGTAGAGACAAAGAAAGCTGTTGACGCATCACAAAATGTCAGGGCACGGGAGACCTTCTGTTGGAGTTTGGCTTCTCTTAAAGGTCCCTCGGAAAATTGTTCTTCCAATAGAGTCAGGACTCCATTAAGCATACCAAATGCAATATTTTGAGGGTTGATAAACAAAAACAGGTGCCACACTGGTAAGGTATTTTAAAAGAAGTTAAAAAAAAACACATTATTAGTAGGCAAAAAAATAAGACATACAATAATAAAAGCATTTTGATGCCCACATTGACTTGACCAGGTCAAGACTACAGACAGTAAAACAGATGAGTGAAAAGAGTTAAACCAGTTTCAGACTGACATTGAAACATGAACAATTATAACCAATACAAATATATGAAGAAACAATAACTAATCACACCATCAATCGCCTAATTTACATTGTATTTATTTACCGATGACTTCCTGGAGGCAGGAGTTGGATATATGAACATTGTTTTCTAATTGGGACTTGATGCTAGAACTTTCCTGCAGTGTCAGTGAGCTTAATTAAGGTTACGCTGACAGCTCTAGGACCAGATTTAAGGGAGGCATTAAAGGTGTGTATTGGAATCGGTGGATCGAAATTGAGGCCAATCTCAGAGCAGCTGCTGATAATGATCTGAAATTCAGGAGCACAGAAAGATTAAGAAAGCTTAACCGCTGGCTGTGTGCCTGCTAACTAATGCAGCGTTAGTAAAAGGTAGAGGAGTTTATGAAGACTGCACAACCTACTTGGCTTTCGCAGCTTCTGCAGTATGTTAAAATATTGAAAGGAAGTTGACTTTGAGTAAATGGCTTTGTTACTAAGGCTTTAAAGCCTTACAGGTCAACAAACGGAGACTAGCTGCTCATGATCTTTGGTGCTGGGCTGCTGTACCTCTTGCAGCATGCGTCCTTGCCCGCTGCTGTCCTGCAGGCTGGCCAGTAGTTTGTCGAGGGTTTGGGTCACTCGGCTTTGGTCCATCTGTCCACTTGTGCAAAGTGACGAGAGCACCAGACCCAGACCCAACATGCAGCCAGTGCTGGGAAAAAGCAGAGAACCTTATCTTATTGGCCATATCATGGAGAAATCCAATCCAAAAGAAATCAGATTCCCTCAATTTTTTATTGAAAGGTGACGAACAACAAGTTTATATTCAGTTCCACAATGAAAGAAGTCATTCATACAGGTTTTGAGATAATGTCCAGTACAGATTACTGACTTGTATTCCAAGTTAGGGTTGAATGAGCAATTTTCCAGAGCTTCAAGAGAGCTGATGAGCAGCTCAGAGTCATGAGCAGAGACGTCACTGAGAAACACAAACAGATGGACAATCAGTGTTGATTCCCGGCCGCTTTCATAATCCCTCATTTCCCTTTTTCTTATATGGTACCATGATCTCACGGTTTTTAAACAGGAAAAGAAACATCTCAATAGTCTCATTTTGGGATCAGTCTCTGACGGAGGGCTCTTGTTGCTGACCTGAGGCGTTGCTGGTGCAGACTGGACAGCACCATGCCCAGCGCCAGGCCCGAGTGGAACTGGACGGCCTGCGAGTCGTCGGCGGTGGCCGAGCCGGGCAGGCCGGCCCGCAGCGCGGTCAGCACCTGGACCAGACCGTCCCTCCGCCACACCACCAGCACGGGCACCAGCAGGGCCAGGGCCAGGCCGGCGCAGGAGCGGGCGATGGCGCTGGCCGTGTTCTCGCCTGAGTACGAGCGCTGCGGGGACAGAGAGGGGTTACCTGGACCTGCTGACCATCGCAAGCTGGACGGGCTGCTGACCAATTCTGTCCTGCTGAGCCTAGCTCACTGAATAAGTGGAAACAACATGCCTACAAAGACTAATGCCTTACTGCATGTTTCTTTTCAGTTAAATCCAGCCAGCCAGCCCGATATTCTACCAAAGGTCAAAGGTTTGGACAGATCTTCTCATTTAAAATGTTTGAAAAGTGTGTTCAAATGGTTGACAGGGAAGCAAAAGCTTTAAATGGAAATGATAGCTTTTGAAATGAAATATAGTTAGCATACATGGGCACATTTTGAATGGAAACATGCTGAAACCTAATTAAATTCCTTTTTCCTGCTACGTAGTGATGTCACAGGCAGGTATTTGACACATTCAAAAGTAACAATTTAACCAGGGAAACTCAAATCCTAAAAGTCAAACCATATTGTGAATAATTCAGAAAGTGAGAGCTATTTTCTTCACAGCAGATGCAAATAAAGATGATTAACTCATTGACTGGCAGCCATTTTCAGAACAGAGTCCCATACTGCCAGAGTTTTCTGAGCATTTTGACTGATTTTTCAAGAGCCACAGAATAGTTTGTGCTATGACTATGTAAACACCGAACACACCAAAAGAAAGAGTAGACTCTCTTCCTTCATCAGGAAAAAAAATGTGTTTCTACCTTATTCCGTTCTTCCTGGACTTGCGTCTCACCGGCGACATGTTCTCTCATAGAACCGTTCCCTTTTTCTTATTTGCCTACAGTTTATGCTCATCTCCCATCAAAAGTGGCACTGCCCCCTAGAGGGTCAATTTGTTACTACATACTCTGTCTAGAAGCCCATATTTACGGACAAGCTTTAGCAGATCGTCCCCCAGACACTCTCGTTAAAAACATAAAAGACCTCTGTAGACATCTTTGGCAGTCAACGGTTGTATTTGAATTGACGTCTATAGACGTCTTTGGCAGCCAATGAGTTAAAAGTCTCAACTCCCACCCAGTGTAAATGTTGGTTATCATTTCCCATGATGCTGTGCGTACTTCAGGTAGTTTTGCTGCCTAAATAAGGGTGCGGAGGCTGTGACAGAGTCAGTTAGAATGCTCAGAGGGAAACTTACGTGCGGGAACCAGGGAAACACCTGTCCTTTGGCCTTGTAGCTGCTGCTGATGATGCTGAGCAAAGTGTCAAACACCATGCCCAACCAGCTGGCCGTGGGCACAAACTCTGGTCCAGCCTACAAAGACAGAGCCACATTCTCAAAGCTTTGTATGGGTTCTAAACACAGCGTGCAGAGGGGGTTCAGGTTTAACTCATGGGTCAGGTCTCACCCTGGTCACAAACTTTTGGAAACCCTCCCCTTTGGCAGAAGGTTGAGAACCATCAGGACCAAAACCTCACGCCATAAAGAAAGTTTTTATCCAGCAGCAACTGGCCTCATCAACGAGGCCAGTGGCCCCCACCTATTCTTCTCTCACCCCCCTCTACCCCACTAATTTACCCAATACTACGTTCAACTTTTTCTGGTTTGTCGTTGGACATTCAATATCTTATTTTATTATTTATTATTATTATTATTATTATTTATTTTATTTTATTCTATATTTTTATATTTTTATTTCTACATTGTATGTCGTTTCTTGTTCTCATAGAAGTGTTGTGCACCTAACACCAAATCAAATTCCTTGTAGGTGAAAAACCTACTTGGCAATAAACCTAATTCTTATTCTGATTCTGATTCTGATATTCATTATATTAGAACTAAATATTTATAAATCTATCTAACACATACACATCCATATATGTATATGGATGTACATTGCCGTATAGTTAAAGCGTCTTACTCCGAGGCTCCCGCTGCTATCGGTCGGCAGGTTGCTCTCGTACTTAGCCAGGACAGCAGCCAGGCCACTCAGAGCCAGGATGGAGTTCCCCTGGACAACAGGACTTTCTCTAAGGACCAGAAAAACCACGCAGGAATGAGACCATTTAGAATTCTTCTGCTCCAGCTGTGCACCGGTTCGTGCATTACACAGTCCTTCACGATTACTGTGGAACTACACAACCCTCATTATGAGCAATGGACTCACTTTGTAGCAGCTTTGATAACATCTGTCAGCTGATCTCTGGCCCTGAGATGGACAGCAAGACAAAGAAGACAAAAACAAGCCTTTCATGTCAGAGGAGAGCATTGATCACCTGCTTACACAGCAGATGTGTGCTAATAAGCAAAACATAACCACCTAAACCAAGTTATGGTGGGGTTGTACACAATGATAAACTTTTTTTCATATTTTGTTGCTAAAGTTTCTTTTGTTAAGTTGTATAAACAGAAAGGAATAGACTACACGTCCAGTTATGAGGCCACAGATAGCTTAATCAATAGTTGTTCTTGTCCAGATGTGAGCTTCTCACCACAGCCAGGCACAGTGCTGCTGGTACTGCACCTCCTGAGGGTTCTCTTTGCCTTGTTTCTGCTGCATTTCCAAGTCGGCGCGTCGACCCTGAAGACAAACGGGTGTAAACATTTCAGCATCTTGCTAAAAGACGCAGACACAACACAAAATAAGCGGTTTCCGTTTGGCTGCGGTATTGCGATACAGATCTTCAGTTTGCCTGAAAAGGTCCCACTGGCTATGACAGAAGCCATAAAAGAAGCCAGAGCAAAAACTAAGTCCTCAGTACATGTTCCCGATTTGTCGGCTGCATCTGACCCAGTCAGTTATGACTTCCTTCTGTCTGGACTCTCAGCATGGCCATCACAGGGAGAGCACACCTGGTTTGAATCCTACCTCACTGCTCCATCATTCAAAGTATCCTGGCTCGGTCATACTGCTGCCCACCACCCGGTCACAGGGGTCCCACAGGGTGGAGTTCTGGGACCTCGTCTCTTTGCCATTCACACCACCTCACTGGGCCAGGCCACATGGCTTCTCGTACCACTGCTATGCTAACGAATCCCAGCTCAATTTGTCATTCCACCTGACGACCACACGGTCTCAGCTCTTATCTCAGACTGACACATGAAAATGGATGAAAGCCCATCACCTCCAACTGAGTCCATCAAAAACCGGACTGCTTTTCTGTCCAGCCAACCCAACCATAAACCTCAGGGTTCACATCCAAACTAAATCTCTGTCTCTATCTCCATCAAAGGCGGTCAGAAACTTGGGTGCCATGACTGATGACCAGCTGACCTTTAAAGATGAAAGGCTCATCTCCTCAGCAGGATGATAACGACATATTAATATGAATCAGGTGTGCTGGAACTGGGAAACGTGGAAAACCTGCGGGACTGTGGGCCCTGAGGACCAGGGCGGGGAAACCCCGGTCTAGCAGTGCCTACACCACGCTTAAGACGATCCAGACTCTTTTCAGATGACGCTCCCTGATGATGGAATGACCTGCCAAGCGCTACGAGATCAGGGGCGTCCCTAAATCTTCAGGAAACTCATGAAGACCGAACTCCTCAAAGAGCATCTCCTCCCCTAACCCTAACCCTGTACCCCCCCACCCATCTACCACTCTTTCTGTACTTCCCTCTATATCTACACTGTCCCCATGTGGCCTCTAGCAGACTCTGACCAGTGATTTCCTTTCCATGTAGCTTATTGTCAGGTTGATGCTGACTGTAATGTTGAGTCTGCATTCTAAGTTGTTTAGAAAAAAAGCGTCTGCTAAACGCAGAAACGTAAACTAATACATTACATTTTTGCTTTTTAAAAAACGTGAGTACTTTAAAGTAGAAGCAATAAGACACATTAATGGCTGAGTTTGTTGATCATATGTATTTAAAAACTTTTAAAAAATATATATATAAATATAATGAAAACATTTGCTGAGCAGCAGAAAAAAAGATTTAAAAGGGGCAATTTAACTCCGAAATTAGCTATTTTAATGGGATTTTGACCTAACAAAGTAAAGGGAATGTATAGTGCTTGACTAAAATGCTATAATAACACTATAACAATAAGAATATTATCATGTGACCGAAAAAGTCAAGTTTGAAGGTTGAAGCGGGTCCAAACATTTGGTTGATGCTTCCAGTGAGAAATAGTTCAGTTGTGTTTTTTCGTTAAGTTTTTGAATTTTTGAATAAAACACAAACCTGCAGGACGGCGTGGAAAGCCCGGCTCATGTAAGCCCTCCAGGCCTGGGGCAGCAGGAGGGCCCGGTGCCACTCTGAGGGCTGGATGTTCACCTACACGCCACACAGAGTGGAGTTAAAGTATCTGGTTTATTTCTCTAATGGAGAATGCACCAAAGAGAGGAGCTATGGAAGCCGTACTTCGTGGACGAGGGCGGTCAGGGTCTGCTGGTAGCTGCGGCTTCTGCTGACCAGAAAGCGATCGATCGGCCTGCCGTCACGGTCCGTCTGAACAGGAAGCTCATAACACAGCAGCAGTCCAGCTGAAAGGCGAACACTTCTGTGAACATTTCTTATTATAATGAGCATGAAGATTAAGTTTATGTGGTCTTTGGGCCACTTTAACTGCCCTCTGTGACCCTGCTAACAAAAAATAAACCACAAACACATTGCTTATGTCCATTAATTCAGTAGACCTTTTAAAATACAATAAAAAAAATACATGTGATTAACTCATTGACTGGCAGCCATTTTCAGAACAGAGTCCCATACTGCCAGAGTTTTTTGAGCATTTTGACTGATTTTTCTAGAGCCACAGAATAGTTTGTGCTATGACTATGTAAACACCGAACACACCAAAAGAAAGAGTAGACTCTCTTCTTTCATCAGGAAAAAAAATGTGTTTCTACCTTATTCCGTTCTTCCTGGACTTGCGTCTCACCGGCGACATGTTCTCTCATAGAACCGTTAGCTTTTTCTTATTTGCCTACAGTCTATGCTCATCTCCCATCAAAAGTGGCACTGCCACTTAGAGGGTCAATTTGTTACTACATACTCTGTCTAGAAGCCCATATTTACGGACAAGCTTTAGCAGATCGTCCCCCAGCCACTCGCGTTGAAAAACATAAAAGATGTCTATAGACATATTTGGCAGTCAACAGTTGTATTTGAATTGACGTCTATAGACGTCTTTGGCAGCCAATGAGTGAATCTATCTTTTTAAAGCTTTAGAAACTGTTTACTGAATTAAGAATTGCATTCCTGGCAACATTGCCTCTTACTCTCCAGCCATTAAAACTGGAATGCTCCTGAGGTTTGTTTCAGGTTGGCTGTCAATCAGAGAAACATGTTTTTGTCGCTCAGCTTCCTGCAATAACTCCACCAATAACATAAAACAAACAGCTAAAGTCTAAAGAAGAAAAACCAAGAGCAGGATAAACCTTCCACAGGCATAACGGAGGTAGATGTGCTCACCTGCTAGCCCAGGCTTCAGGCCAGGCTGCTTGTTTTTCTCGTAGGTCTTGAGCATGAACGACGGGATTCCAGCCACCGTTTTACCCTGATCGGACCGCAGACCGCCCCCCCTCAGGGCCGAGAAGTACACCCCCCGTGGCATCAGACTCATCTCCTGTTTCACCAAGGATGTCAGGAAGAGCTCAAAGGCTGAAAGGACAAAAGTGAAAATGAGATACTTGAAAAAGGAATTATCTCAAGAGAAATGCATTAGTTCAATATGCATGACAAAACCTGCTAGATGAAATACCTGTCCTCGCCGGAGGCATTGTGCTGGAGACTGTACCCCTTTAAGAAGCCATTGACCAACATGATGAACACACAAGCTTAATATACCTGGCAGAACAGAAACGGAGGTGAGTGCCATCAGTTTCATGTAAGATGAGCCTGGAATGGAGAGATCCTTCTCCTTCTCCTCCTCCTCCTCCTCCTCCTTCTTTTCATCCTTCTCCTCATTTTCGTGGATCTCCGTGGCTGGTCTGGCCTACAGGGCAAACAGAGAAACGGAAACAGAAACGGATGATTTATGGAGACAGTTTTAATTGAAAGCTAAACCCTAAAGGAACATTACATTACCGCCTGCAATGGATCATTAAGAAACATTAGGATTAAAAAGGAACAGAACCGCGAAAGAAAAATCTCTTTTGAATGCTTGGCAGCCAGTCTTTAAGACAACCGTGTCACTGAAAACAGAACTTCTATTTTATACGATTTGCTTAGAAAATAACTCAATACATTTTAAGACTAAAGGCTACGTTTTGGGGAGTGGAGCAGGGTTCTTACCGCAGCAGGAAGGTGAGGTATAGTGTGAACCGTTTCAGGAAAGCCTGCCAAGGCCTTGTAGCCACAGCTGGACACATCAGGATCCTGTTCCAGAAAACGCACAGTCAGCATGTTTGGTATTTAAAGCATAACTAGAAGATATGAACATGAGGCGCCAGCACACTGGAAGATTTAGAAGCTGCTCCACACGCTTTATTCTGTGAGTTCTGAGCAAAAATCTGAAGCTGTGTTCATTTCTATGTGTTGAGTGGAGCTTTACGGAATAACTGGGTGAGTTGTGATTAATTGTGAGAGTTTTGTTTTTGTAGTTTTTATCTTCCTGTCTATTTTAAAAAGTTTTAAAAAAAAGGAGCTGTTTGTAAAAAAACAGCAAATAGGAACTCCTCAGTTGGGCAGAATTTGAGACGGAGTTCACACCTTTACACACAGGTACAGGTGCCCGATTTAAAAAAGTTATGTATGTGTGAATGTTTTAGTAGAGATCCTACACAGTCTTTTAGAACCGAGACCCCAGCTCTTCAGCATACAGACCTTGCTTGAAGCATAACTCCAGAGGAAACTGACCACTTCATCTTTCAGTTTCTACGAGAAAAATACAGATACAAGATAAAATGATCCCTCTTTAATCACGACAGAGTTTTAGTTTAGAGAGTTCAAACACATTTATTAAGGGTTTTTTCAACTACTGAAGGAAGGAAAGATTCTACCACAATTAGTTTTAGGTCTAGCCAAGCCTTTAGTAGTGAACAGTCTTTTAATGGTAGGCATTACAGTAATACTACTGAATAAAATTATCAATACATTTGATTTAGTAACTGAGTAGCTGAGTTGTAGCTGAGTTTTGCCTGAGCAGTCATCTACTGAATGCCCTTACACTGTAGGCCATAGAGTTCTATCCTTATGGATCTTTTAATGATTATCAGAGTAAACATTTGCCTTTTAACCAATATTATTCTCTCAAGTCAAAGTCAGACGGTCAGGAAGATGATAAATGATAAGTAAGTGAAAGCACTACTATGATAAATCACATTAGGTACCTCATACTCCTCTGACTTGACGGTGAGCTGAGGGACCAGGGCCAGGAGCTCCGCTATGGCTTTAACCATCAGTGGACGAGAGTCGCCGCTCAGCTCTGGACCCAGACTTTTCCAGGTGGAGATTATGTCCACAACCTGTCAGAAAGGCCGAGCTCAAACTCAGTGGAACAGAAACACCTTGACTGAATCACCTCGGATTAAACCAAAACATTTCCCCATGGGAATCAAATGAGCTCGCTCATGTGAAAGACCACAGAGTTAAAGCCTTTTGAAAACACAAACGCTTGATAATGGTGGGATGGATTGCAGTACCTCTGCTCGGCACAGCTCCTGTAAGCCCTGTAGGGCTAAGGCAGCCGGGGTTGCCAGGTCTGGTTTGCTGCACTGCTTCAGGGTGAGGGAAATCGCAGCCAACATGTCCCCTCCATGCTGGTACGGCCTGACACGCACACACACACACACACACACATACACACAATTCTTACTGAGATAACTAATAAGGAGGCAGAAAAAGAGTCTCACATGTCTTTGACAGTGGCATTCTCTGCTAGAGAACAGCCTGTTTAGCGACATTACAGCAAAGGTCCTCATGGTTAGTTTAGTCGTTTTATCTTTCATTTCATCTTTCTTTACTCTTTTCTTTTAGCCAGCTGTCGAGTCGCCTGTCTATCGTGTCATAGCCTACATATTAACACATCTCCACTTTATCTGATGCTTTATGGTCAACCAAGTTTTCCATCTTTTCACTGTTACCTTTTGCTAGTTGAATAATTTTGTCTCACAGGGTAATTCCACAATGAGCACCAAAGCGGGAATTCTTCCCCACAAACTTAAGACTGATATCGTAATAACTCATTCTAACAAGTGTGAGCAGAGAGAAGTCGGTTTATGACCCAATTTTCCACAGACAGCCCAGCCCCTAGACTTGTGCTAGAGTTGCTAGAACACATCTCTTGTCATTTGAACGGTAGACAGTATTATCTACTGCTTCTTTCTGTGACTTAGTTATGCCAGAAAACAGCATCAAGAAGACAAACAGCACTATAAAGATTCTGCGTGTGCTTTGCTGTTACCGGCAGGACGGACTGTTACCCATGGAGTAGCTTTTCTGATAATCTCTGTCTAACACTCCCAACCCAACAGAGGATCAGAAAACAGATGACTGTTTGAGTGAAAGAGGTGGGGGTTATGACACCAGTCACTCTCTGAAAAAGTTGTAAAATTCTTCAAATTCACATGGCAACTCAAAGAAAGAAAGACCATATTTGAAATAGTTGCTATAAAGTTGCAGAGGATGCAACTTCATTATGTCTGACAGTTGCTAAGAAAGAAAGAGTAGCTAGAACCCCTTCTTTTGGATTAGAAATATCTAAAACAGGCCTACTATTGTGGGTTTCCAATGCTAGGCTATACAGTAAGGCAGGCTTTATTTTGGTGAGGGGTGCATTTTAGGAGTAGGATGAATTCAGGTTAGCTCAGGGAGGACGTGAGGCTGTGTGTGATGAGTGTGTCTGTCACCTCTCTCTGCAGATGTCCCTGAGGCAGGCGGCCCGGCACAAGAGCTGCTCCCACTGGGCCTCCTGCCCCCCCGGCCCCCCGGAGTCCTGCTGGCCCAGGAGACGCTGCAGCTCCGGGTAGACTCGGTCCTTCAGAGGCAAACACAGAGAGAAGACAAATGCATATTTCTGAGGAGCTCGGGATGAAGAAAAGTGACAGTTCTGATGAAAAGAAACCTGTTTTTTCCAGAGAGTGGTCATGAGACGCACGGCGACAGCCCTCAGCCTGGGAGAGCTGGCCAGCATGTGGAGGGTCTGCAGCACCAGGGGGACACAGAGCTGGAAAACCATCAAAACACTGTGGTTATACACAACGAAGGACAACGTGATTACATTTGGACGACGTTACAAGCCGAATCTTGCTCATTGTGAGGTTGGACGTTGTACCTTGTGAGTCCCAAGGTTGGGTAGGCAGTTAAGCACAGCATGAGCCAGTTTGGGGTTCTTTTCCTTTGCCAGTTTGAACAGCAGCACCGAGAGGAGGGAGGGAACCTGGACACACACAGGGGGTTTCGGCTTAACAAGTACCTTCAACCTCTTGGTTTGGAAGTGCAGAAGACAACTGACAAAAGACAAAAGATGGAAATCTGCTTTGAGTGTGAGACCCAAAGAAAAAAAGTGTCTTCAAATGTCTTTTTTGTTGTGATTTTCCATGTATTTAGACCTAAAAAAGAACATTAGAATTTAATTTTTAAAAAAAATATTTTTAATTTTAATTTCATAGCATGCCCACTGTGGAGGACAACAGGACGGTTTGCATGGGAAAATAGAACAGGCTTTAGATAATTAAATAATAAAAAAGAAGAAGTCTTGAAAGGGATATTTGCCTAAGAACTCTTAGGAAAAAAGTAAAGTTCCCATTATGCAAACCTATCACATGGCACATCACTGGAAAGCCCAGGATGTGCTCTAGAACACTATAGGGCTTGATAGGGTAACTCCAGATACTTAGGGGGGGGTACAGGTGGACAAAATGTCCACTATAATGGACATAAATGAATGGGCCGGGTCTCAGGAGGATAAATCATGGATATGGATTTGAGTTTTTTTACCCTCCTGACTTGAAAAGAGCTCCATGGCACTTCCCAAAAGATATTTCAAACTCCTCTTAACCAGAAGCCTGTCAGAAACCTGCTCTGTGTAATAACCACTCTACTTCTCACCTTTAAGCCACTTTGAACAGTATCTGCCTTGTCACTGTAATTCAATGAACACACACACAGGGAAGTAGTGTGTGTCCCCCCCCCCCCCCCCCCCCCCCCCCAGCTTACCACATTTTTTACAGATGATACAATTGACCTGTACCAGGCTGTGATGCACCTTGTGTGGAAAATCTCTTCTTCCGGCCTGTCATCTTTGGTAAAGCTCCATCCCTGTTTTCCACCCACTCAACCCTTATCGGGTTACGGCTCTGACTCCAGGCGTGAGCAAAAGCCGTTTCAAAGTTGCTTCCATAAAAGAAAAAGAGAGGAAACGAGTGCGCTCTGACCTCCCTCCTGTGTGTTGTGGCTGACCAGTGTGCATGAACAACGCTATATACACACAACGCTGTTTCTGAGGAGCTCTGCAGAGACTGCCCAATTCAAATATACTGTTTATAAATGCTGCGTGGTTCAATGGCCAATTATAAAATAAATAAATAAGGCATTAAACCCCAAACAGCAACTCCATATCCTGGTTAAAACCCATTTTTATATGAATTGGTCCTGAATATATTGTCTTGAATATTACTGGCTGCAGTAAGCTAAAGAGTTGATAAAAATGACTGAACCAGGTGCTACAGTCTAAGCAATTGAAAAGCCATTTGAAGCAGGAAGAAAGTCGGTTTTATAATGAATGAGTCTTAATGAGTCATTCTCAAACCCTGCATGGTGCTCATTGCACAAGTGGAAGTATATTTTTAACGTATAGAAGTAGAATTCAGAGACCAAGTGTGGCTATTGCAACGTTGTAATGTATTAGTCCTAACTCAGGTCTTTGCTAATCATTTTCCTACACTGTGATGGTGAAATTATGCCCATGCCACAGAAATGGGACACAGTGGCACTTTCAAACTGTTTTTAACAGACTTTTTCTGTCCTCTTTTGTCAGTTGGAGATTCCAATCTACAAACAAACATTTCCTCTCTCTGTAAACTCAGAAATGACCAAAATTTCAGTGTGTGACATTTGGACATTTTGAAGATAAATCATGTGTTATCATGTGAAACCTGTTTAAATGTTTGAATTAGCTGATTGTAGCTGATTGTGTCCCGATTCATTTCAATGACAAAAAGTTCGGAATAAAAAAGCTGAATATCTTAAGAATAAAAAGAGTTTAGAAAAAAAAGGAAAAGTCATTCTGCCCGTATCCAGAACAAGTTGGATGTTACAAATTAGTCCATAAATGTAGATGAGAACTAAACAGAAGAAGGACCACTACAGTGTGAGGAGTGGACAGTAATAAAACCCAGAGCAGAATGGTCAGAATGAGCACTGAGCTGCTTCCTTCGGCTGTGAGTGTAAAAACGGGAAAGAGCCGGGGTCCTTGGTCACACAATGGCTCTGCAGTGTAACAGCCTTTAATCAACATAAAGCACTCACTCCTACCACGCAACTCCACGGTTGCCTGGCAACCACATCACCTGCGTGGTTTGAGAGCCAGAAAGGCGCGCACAGAAGGAAATTCAGTTTTTCCTTCAATATAGTCACCGCTTCTAAACTTAACCATCCCCTTTTAATCAGTACTTGTGAAAATGAGAGCTGCTCTGGGCCTCAGGCGGCAGCTTTGTAATTAGCATGTAGCAGGTAGACCCCAGGTAAGCAAATCCACCGGGTTCACGTGGGCCAAAAGCCACATCCAGCAGGCACTTTGGGAGCAATTAGAGCAGCAAGGGGACACTGGCAGGCTTCCTCCAGGCCCGTGTAATGAGCCTCTAACACCATGAGGCACTTCCTCACAGCTCCCGGTGACAGCCACTCCATTTACGCTCCCGGGAGGGCCGAGGACAGCCTGTCAATTCTTCTCCTCACACACCTGCAGAATATTCAGCAGCCCAGGCAGACCGGATAGACTCTGGTATTGTTGTCATCAGTTCATGTTTGTGATTATTGTTTGTGTTGTTTTTAACCAATTTATGTTGACCTAGAGTGTCCAGAAAGGGGCCTTTTAAATCAAATGTATTATTAATATAGTAAAAATGTGCAGAAAATATTGACTTTGATGTTAAAATAAACAAAAAGACATGTGTATTGGATTTGCTTGTTTTTTAAACATATTGTTAAAGAAACAAACACTTCAGATGAAAATAAAAAGTTCATATTTGTATCAATTTTTGGTCGGGTCAGATCACAGTGTTTGTGATTTGGGGTTGCTTCATCGATTTGGGTCCAGATTGTCTTGAAAAATAATTGTATATCCTGTTTAAAAGTCCTTCAAAACAATGTGATACAATTTGGCTAAAAGTTGAAGTGTAAATGGACCTTTAGCATGATCATAAACTTCAGTACAATTACAAACCCACCACGCAATGGCTACAAAACTCAATAAGTAGGGTTACGGAATGGAAAATAATCCTATTGACTTCAATCACACCAAAACATTTTAGAAACTTATTTTAAGCAGAGAAACCCCTCAGACATTTAGCAAAAGTTGGACTTGTTCATTGAAGTGTGGCACTACTTTCAGTGAGGTTACGGTGGTTCTCAAAACACCCGTAAGATATTCAGCTAAATAAGACATCATCATCTTCTGAGGAAATGGTGCATTTAACCCTTTAACGCCTGATACAAGAAAAATAGGAAGAATGTTGGATTTTTTTAGTCTGAAGTCTTTCTTTGGCCCCTCAACAACATATGAAGAAAAAAAAACAGAAATTATTTTGATCAAATTAGCGTGCAATAAGTAAAAAATCTATGTTGGTGTGGTCTTCTACTGGCTGTTATCAGGTATATCTGAATGTGTTCAACAGGGGTTTGAGCAAAGCTTTTACCACTGAATGATGCAGAAAGTCTCAGATCCAAAAGACTTCAGAAACCGTATGTATCAAATATAATACATTTGGCATTATAGGGTTAAAACATACTTTTGACTCCCTCTGCAAAGCGATGTTTTTGTTGAATACATTATTTCAGTGTCAGAGGGGAACTTTTTTTTCTTTTGGCTTTGTTTACGTGCCACCTAAAGGTACAGGCATTAAGGGAAAGATGCTATTTTTAATAAATGACAGCAGAGCAGGGCCTCAGACGCTGAAGGATTGAGGGGACAGTTGTGGGGGTCATCTACCTGGCAGGGGTCAGCAGCAGCGATGGCCTGGCCGGCGGTCAGAGCCAGCTGGCAGACGTCCTCCTGGCCAGTGATGATGAGATGAGTCACGACCAGAGAGAGGGAGGGGGGCGGGCGCTGGCCGGGGGACAGGGCAGAACGAACCGCCAGCAGCCAATCGGCCGCCGCCACTGGATCCTGGGCCAGTTTACGCAGGACGGACAGAGCCACGGTCAGCTCACTGTGCCAGTCGCTGACCGATAGAGCCAGAGCTGGGCCAGGCTGAGGAAACAAGGCAGGTTTAAAAACAAGAATCACTCATTAACACACAGTTACATGAGCTAATAATCATAAGTCATTCAAAAATAAATGTCACGGCCTTTTACATTTTCTTAACCAAGTTCTTTAAATCCAAAAAAAAAAAGGCCGTCGGTGGCAACAGGTGGGTTTTGATTTAGACGCACTTGCTTTATTTCTTTGTAAAATTATAAGAAAATAACAAACAAAATTCCATTATATACATATACTATCTTTGTGGCAAACTTCCCGTCATCACACCTGACATTTCCCCCCCCAAACCACAACCCCTGGCTGTTTTAAGTCTTCCAAATTAATGGGAGGAGCTTGGAAAATTACTCAATAAATCCCAACAATTAAACTAAAAATGGTTCTTTGCAAATTAAACATTTCAACTACCTAAAATTAAACAGAACATGTGAATGACGAAAAGTTTACTTAAATGGCCACAACAAGAAGAAACACCAGTGAAGAAAATAAAGGAAAAGATCCAATCTAAATTTGCCTGTTCGTTGACTTTGACTGGCTCATTGATTTTCTGGTTATTTTTGCTCTTTACAGACCCAGCCTGTCATGGTAGCTGCTTTTATGCTAAATCAGGATGACAATCACTGGCTGATAGCAATTATTTGGCATATAACACTCATTTTTGTTTAGATCTAGGTGCCAGGAACGAATACTCATTTTTTCCACTCTTCTCAGTAATTTCTTATTTTTTAAATTAAGATCATATTAACATCTTAACTTTTTTTCAGGGAGGTTAGCCATCATGCAGCTTTATAAACATGTTGTATACGTTTTTGTATAAAAACGTCAAACGTTAAAACTACCTGGACGCCCTCTTAGAGCCCCATGTCACCGCTCGCCCACTCCCTTTCCCCAGGGAGCGCCAGCTAACACGGCCATGTTAATCTGGACTCCTCTCATCTTTGTTTCCACGCTGGTGGAACGACGTCACAAGCACTATCAGAGCATCAGATTCCCTTTCCTGCTTCAAAAATCCCTGAAGACCCAGCTCTTCTGAGAGTATCTCTTGTCCTGAAAGCTTTAAATGTTTATTTCCTGATAGCATATAGCACTCAATGCGTGGTACTTGTGCAATCTATGTCAGAGTTGAATGATAAATGCTGAATGTTAAATCCTTTTCAAGCTTATTGCACTCATATAAGTGTGGAACTGGGGTTGGAGCTGAATACTAAACCCTCTTTTTGTCAGTAGTTTTGGATAAAAACGTCTGCTAAATGCAGAAATGTGAACGTAAAAGGCATTGCTGCATTTCTGCATCCGTGGCTGTTCTGGCTCCTGCTGATTGGTTGATAGTGCTTGATCAATCAGTGATAGGATGAGCTTAGTTAAATCAAGTGATCACATTTATTCCCTCATAGCAGAGTGATACCGAAGTCAGAATCCCAGATAAAAATCTCAGTTATTATTATAACTCCAAAGAGAGAAGCAGATCCGTAATTGACAAATGAGATCGGAATGCCTTTGAGACAGGGGTGTGGGTTTAAAAGAGTGCTAGAAATGGGGGAAACCAATATTTCCCTTAATGCAAATAGGAAAGATATGGATAGACAGAATTGAGTCACCCCAAATGTGGTTTCATCTTATAAGTCAAAGTACCTTATAAAAAAAAAAAGAAATGTCTCACTTTTCCTACGATAAGACGGTTACCTGTGGGACTTGTTCTGCAGGTTTGGTGATGCTGCCCAGCAGGCTGTGGGCCAGCCTGTGGTTGAGGCTGTGCGTCCTGTGGTCAGACAGCGGCTGGGTGAAGCCGGAGCAGGACAGCAGCTGCAGCAGAGGCAGGGCCAGGACCGGACTCAGCCAGGGGGACCACCCCTCTTTTTCAGGGACTAAACTCAAAGCTGTGTCAAACCAAGAGGAGGAAACAAAAGGCCCATGAGATGACAGGGGATCCGGACTAAAACTTTTCCACCAAACTGCCCGCTAAAAGGGCCTCACACTACATGTTTTCATGTGTTCAATACAATGTGGTCAAAAAACAATACACAACTACAAGGCTCAGGAGTACTTTGGAAAATTCTTTAGCCCTGAACACCTTCCACCAGACGCAACCTCCAAGTACTGATCAAAGAACTTAGACACACTTAATGAGGTGAACCATCTACACACATTTCCCTCCACGTGATCAGGACGCAATAGTTTGACTTAAATCAGACAAATCTGTTCATGTGTATTTTAATAGTTTAAAGGTTTTTTTATGTTTAAAATTTTCACGAAATTACATTTCTATATTGGGAATATTGTGGTACAGTTACTTTACAATATTCATGTGTTCTGTTATGATAAAATTGTTAAATGTTTAGGATTTATTAAGAATCTGTCCATATTACTTATAAAACAAAATCCTTATATGATATGGTTCCTACTATTAAACATATTTACTGCCACTACCTTGCTAGGTTAGCTCAGCTAAAAAAGAAGATTCATTTCGACTACAGGAAATTCTTGCCTATGAAGATCTCTCAAATAAGAAACAAAATCCACAAAGAATCATTTGTGAGTGCACATCTCTTTTTACCCAGACTGAGCAGGCTGCTCTGCTGAGCGGGCGGGGCGTCCAGCAGGAGCAGGCCTACGCCCAGCAGCAGCTCGTCCACGGGCGCCTCCTGCAAAACACGTTTAGCTTCACAAACCGGATGACCAGCGGATGACCAGCGGCGATCCCAGATCCACCACCTGACCGGACGCTGCCCGCTCACCTGCCGGCAGGTGGGCAGCAGCCGCTGCATCAGGTTGAGGAGTGGACGGCAGTCTCCGTTGAGCTGGAGGCATCGCCGGCACGCACACAGCAGCTGCACGAGCAGCCCCGCCCTCTCGGTCAGCCGGCAGGCCCCCGGAGCCTCGGTCAGGGGCTGGACGAGGGTCTCTACGAACCCGCAGAGCTCCAGCACTGCCTCCACACTGTCCAGCTGCAGGGAAACACACACACAGCCCAACCACAGCAAACCACGTTTCCCCTATGAGCCTATTGCTTAGACACACACACAAATATATACACATTGTTATATATACCCTCCTGAGACCCGGCCCATTCATGTATGTCCATTATAGTGGACATTTTGTCCACCTGTACCCCCCCTAAGTATCTGGAGTTACCCTATCAGGCCCTATAGTGTTCCAGTGATTTGCCATGTGATAGCTTTGCATCCTGGGAACTTTACTTTTTTCCTAAGAGTTCTTAGGTAAATATCCCTTTCAAGACATCTTCTTTTTTATTATTTAATTATCTAAAGCCTGTTCTATTTTCCCATGCAAATCGTCCTGTTGTCCTCCACAGTGGACATGCTATGAAATTAAAATTAAAAATATTTAAAAAAATAAATAAATTGTAATGTTCTTTTTTAGGTCCAAATACATGGAAAATCACAACAAAAAAGAAATTTGAAGACACTTTTTTTCTTTGGGTCTCAGGAGGATATACATATATATATAAAATGTCATTTTCATTTCATTCCGTTTATTTTGAAACATGATATGATTTTATAATGTTTACATAAAATGCTTCCTAAACATGCATCATATTTAAAAAAGGAGCAGGATGAAGCATAAGCTTATTAAGCCCTACCCCTCAGTTACAGGACGATTACAGTAAGACAAACAGTATAACTTTTTATGTATTATTCTTTTTTGTATTCGTCAAAAATACTTTTCTTATATTATTTTTTGAATTGCTGGATGCTATTACATTGTTTAATATTTTCAGGCAAGCTGTTCCAGAGTTTCACTCCACTAACTGATAAACTGAAGGTTCTTTTTGTTGTTCGAACACACTTAGTTTTGAAATTGAATTTTCCTCTTAGATTATATTTTCCATCTCTATCTGTAAACAATTGTTGTATGTGTGCAGGAAGTCATTCATTTCTTGCTTTATAAAGAATTTGAGCAGTTTTGAAATCGATCAGGTCTACAAATTTGAGAACTCTTGAATCCGGGAATAAACAGTGAGTGTGATCTCTATAATGTTTGTTATTCGTTACTCGTATTGCTTTCTTTTGCACAATAATCAATGGTTGAATGTCTGTATTGCAAGTGTGGCCCCACACTTCAACACAATAGGTTAGATAGGGCTGAAAAAGTCCAGATATTGCCAGATCTGGGCTTTACCTGCATATATGGAACCAGCGTGCAGAGGCAGAGCAGCATGGACTCGGACACGGCCGAGGACTTGTCGTTTAGGGGGTCCGGTCCGGTTCCCTGCTGCTTGGTCAGCAGCACTCTGAGCAGGCCCTGGCGCAGAAGAGCGTGCTGGGGCTGCCTCTGGGGCTCACAGTACAGGTACCGGAGGAAGGGCGCCAGCATGGCGATGTAGGACGTTTTGTTCCTGAGGTTTATGAACGCATAAGAGGCACGTCAGAAACTCTTTAAGAAAACCAGCTTTAATCAGTTAAAACATCTTAAGTCAAGTTTAAGCTTTTCTCTATAAAAAATTCCATAAAGTCTTCATCTTTAAAAGCAAAACGTGACATTGAGATTTTCTGCATGTCAGGGTCAGTGGTGGGAAGTAACCAAGTACAAGTACAAGTACTTCGTTACTGTACTTAAGTACAATTTCCGTGTATCTGTACAGTAGATTTAATAATGGATACTTTCTACTTTTACTCCACTACATTTAACAGTAAGTATCTGTACTTTTACTTCACTACATTTCTATACAGCGTTTCGTTACTCATACATCCAAGACGCATTTGGGTTTTTTGATTTGTTCGTTAGTTTGAAAGTATCCAATGGCGAGAGCAGAATCAGTCCGCTGAACCAATCCAAAGCGGGAAATAACCATTAGGCCCTCCCTCAAGAAGAGCAGCACAGTACCAGGACCTGCATAAAATATCTAAATCTAAACTGTCACAGGGGGTAAACACAATAAAAACATGCTTTATCTGCAGCATTGCTCATTAAAATGGTACATTACTGATTTATTCAAACTAAATACGATAGGTACACTTAATGACATTATATAAGCCGTTAGCTATTATGGTTGGCAAGTACTTTTACTTTTAATACTTAAGTAGTTTTAAAAGCTTGTACTTTCTTACTTTCACTTAAGTAAAATAATAATGTGGTACTTTGACTTTTACTTGAGTACATTTTTGTCTGTGTATTTGTCATTTTACTTAAGTACATTGTATGAGTACTTTCTCCACCACTGGTCAGGTTCGTATGATGAGTTGGGTGCTTTTCACATATGCTTTTTAGATTCAAACACTGAGGGCCTGAGTGATTGGTGGGTGGGTTCGGGGTCACCGTGGGGGGGCCGTTCTTGCCTGTCATCTGCCTGCCGAATGAAGTCATCAATCTCCAGCAGCAGGGCGGGCCAGCAGTCGGCGCGGTTCTCCAGAGCCGTGATGTACGGGTGAGGCCGGAGTCTGCAGGGGGGAGGACAGCCGAGTGGTCATTAATAGCCAAACGGTCCAGTTCAGCCAGAGCACGCTGACAACCTGCATTAAGGTGCGGACATTCAACAGTTAAACCTCCAAAAATATGCTTCTGATTATCTTCAGCTAATATTTAGCTTCTAAAACTTTTAAAAATGTCATGGTGACATTGGAAATGAGCCTATCTATCAAGTGCCATGACATCCAGACTTGGGCTTCCGCGCTTTTTTTTCTTTTTTCTGCTGTCCTCATATCAAATTGGAGCCAGCTATCATTTTTGGTACCACTTCATTCACAGTGGGGAATTTTCCCCGAGCCCCTTCTTATTTCATATTTCCACTGGATCATTACAGACCTCCGTCATCTTATGTTTGTACCAAAAAATGGAAAAATGTTGCAGTTTCTCAGTCAATTATCTTTATTGCAGTTCTTCAGGTGACACTAAAAGACTATGACACACTGTTGCACACCTAGATTTAGAATTTCATAACTTTGTGTTAGATGAGCTAATAACGTTTTGTCCCTGTGAGTCAATATATCTGATTAGATGTTGCATATGAAAACAAATGATTATCCATCCAGTCATGTTATGCAAATGACTACTTAATGAATTTGATGTAGTCTAATGCAGTTTTTAATATTTCTTTGCTATGGATACTCATTTTCATTCATGATAAAAATAGGTTTTTTATAACCCTCATGCTGACAAACTAGATTTCAAATGGTTAAACTTAATTAAAGTTTATGGACTAACAAGTATCTAATCTCTTACATTTAAAAGTTTTTTACTGTGATATATTGTAAATGTCAGACGGTTTTGACATGTTGTCTAGTTAAGATCTTTTACCACCATTCTACTGTATAACATATCAAAAAGCAGTCACTTTTTTCATTTAATAATTAGGGCAAAAGATGTTTTCATAACCTCTGACCCTGCAAAGCATTCTTTAAGTTGATCACTGTGCCAACAGTCAGGGATTCATCATTGTGTTCTAACAGGTGAGTGTTCATATCTGCCATTGTTAATAACTAATGTTCTCCAAAAATAGACGCATTTACAACCCAAATTCATTCTCCCTTTAAAATCCAAATTATTTTCAGACATTAGAATTGATGTTAAAAACACATGTTTGTACCCCACAAGCAGAGGTGGAGGGTGTTCATGCAACTTTATCTAATAAATGTACATTTTTCAACAGTTTTACACCCCTTCTGCATCCTGTTTTTATTGTTTAACATACATGGACACTTAAAAAACAGGACATTTAGCTATCATCAGCACCGCTCCAAGCACTACCTCTCCTTTACCTTCCTTTCCTTTGAAGAACAAACAAAGAACCTTTGTCAGTCTGCATTTAGTGCAGACAAAACACTGAGGTCAACTCCAAGTTGAAGAGCCGGCGCGTTATTAGGGCTCCAGTCCCAGAAGGCTGGGGTTATATCAACACCTAACCCATTTGTTAAATCCCTCATTAAGTATCCAAATGGAGGAAGGAGGCTCTTGGACTGAGCATGTCTGTGCATGCCAATGACCGCAACGCTGCCCATCCAGCGGTTTCTGCCTAGTCCTGAAAGGTGTAATCTGCCTGACCATCACGGTTCAGGCTCCCCGCGGCTGTTTCCAGCCCCTCGCCTTCATTATGGCTCCCATCCATCAGCCATGGCGGGGCCCTCTACTTTTCAGCTGTCACACAGAGGAGGAAGTCTAGATGGACGGCTCTTAGTCTGACTCCAAGTTCACCAACGGGGTCGAGTAACATTGAGCCATGGTTCTGCTCGAGGTTTCTGCCTGTTAAAAGGAAGTTTTTCCTTCCCTGTGTCGCCTAGTGCTTGCTCATGGTGGGAATTGTTGGGTTTCTGTAATTAACTCCAGAGTAAGGTCTGACCTGCTCTGTTTGGAAAGCTGTGAGACAACTGTTGTTGTGATGTGGCGCTATATCAATAAAATTGAATTTAATTAATTTTAATTTTGTATTGTCATTGTCTGAACGTCGTTGTTTGATCTTCCTGCCTCAGGGCGACAGATGTAAACTAGCAACTATGCTATAATCTGGCTCATTTACAATCTGTATGAGATTGTTCATTAATGTGCACTGTCCTGATTAAATAAATAAATAAATAAATAAACATGGAGCTGTTGCTGCCTGGAGATGTTTCTCTGGCTTTTTTTGCAGTGTACCACAGGCTGAGCTCACTTACCAGCAGGACACTTCAACATACGCAACAAAGATCCTTTAACTAGATTTATAATTAAATAGGAAATTGGGAATGATGGAGCCATTAAAGTCCTGTCACATTGACAGGTGGAGTAGGGAGCTAACGAACACAGAAAATATTGAAGACATCCTCTCATTAAATAGATAATGAAAGCCTTTTTGGGAAGGCGCTCATAGAACCTGATCCAGCTCAGCTCCTACGCACTCTCCCTCCCACTCCATTTGAACATTTCCACGGTGGTTTCTACAGCAAAGGCTGCTTCGAACCAACCTACATATACTGAGGAGGAATCCTTACAAAGATAAGAAGCCGCACGCCAACCTATCTGAGCTCCATGCCGTTTCTCAAGCTAAACGTGCAAGGTTGACTAATTATTTCAGAAAAGAAAAAAAAACACATATAAAATGATCATAAATGCCACAAGCACTAAAAATAGTCAATATTTTCTCCAGAGGTCTGTACATCTTTTCATGATTACCCATAACATCTGGAATGTATTTAATTATTGTCCATACCGCTCATTTGTAGTAGGGTCATGTACGCCTAGAGGCAGTTTCGAGTGTCCAAAAATCTCTAAAAAATTAATGTTGGAGATTTGAAAATGAGAATAAACTATTTTTTATGTTGGTTTAAAAATGTGTACATGATGTAAATTGGCAATAGGGCGTAACATAAACCAACAAAGTCTAGCAAAATCTAAAGAGATTACCGCCGTTACAAATACAGAAACAATAAGAAACACAAGCTCCATGTAATCATGAACACAACACAATCTTGTTCATTCCTCCCTTGGCTCTGTGCAAGGTGGAAATCAAAGGAGTTCCAAGCTGTGGTTCATCATTCTTGTAATAAAACCAAATTCCCATGTTTACTCCTGACATTTACTTTAGTTTTTTATATCATGACTAACAGCGAATACACAACATTAGAATGTACTCAGCAGTGTTTTCATCCACGTTGTGTTATCCATGAGAGCGTGAAACATCATTCTTAATCACCTCTCTCTTGCAGGAACACCTTAGGTTAGCATCCCTGTTCTGTTTCAGACAGTTTGAGCACCAAACATGGTGTCAATTCAGGGATTTTTGGCTTCAAAATAAGAAACAGTGCTTCAGGAAGAACAATACATCATTCTCCACCTCAACTTAATTTTTTACCATGTGAATTGTTCAGGTTTTTATTAGAATTTATGGTCTTTCCAATGAAGAGGCCAATATTTTATAATTCAAATATGCCAGTCGGGAGTCAAGCAAGAAACTAAATGCTAATTTAGCCTGACATCACTAAGGTGGCAGAAGTCAGTCCATTTTGTATTTTGATGTCTCCATCATTCTGTGAAACGTCTGTTGGTGACCTTATTCATCCAAATGACAGTAACTTGTACTGCTACATTAGATTAGACAAGCCAAAAATATCAACAGAGATATTTCAGAATCCCATTAGGACAGAACGATGAATCGATAATGCTTCATCTCTTCCAGGGCGGAGTTTGTTTCACTCTAAAGGTGGTGATCCCCATCTCAGTGTACCTGAAAGGCAGGGAAAGCTCCACCACAACAGCCAGACTGGCTCACTGAGGAACGGGACACAGCCCTGGTCCTCCCCTGACCCTCCCCTGACCCTCCCCTGGTCCTGCCGGGGGCTGAAGGGCTCCGGGTCTCAGTGGCAGATCGCTAAGGGCTGCTGCGCGCGGACGCACAACAATGGGCACCAGTGTGTATCCGCCATTAATCCGCCAGCATTTCCAGTCAGCCCCCAGTGCCAGGCCGGACGACCAATGGCGGGCCAGACCGCCAGGCCAGTGGCGCCACCCTGCTGCCCGCCGCACATTCATCCTCCCACCAGGGAGGTTCCTCTAGCAGACAGACGGACGGAGGAGACAGCGATGAAGACGGAGGGAGAGAGAAGGACAATGGGGAAGAATAGAGATTCAGAGAAGGGGAAGCTTAGACTGAGAGGTATTTTTAACTCATTGGCTGCTAAAGACGTCTATAGAGGTCTTTTATGTTTTTTAACGAGAGTGTCTGGGGGACGATCTGCTAAAGTTTTTCCGTAAATATGGGCTTCTAGACAGAGTATGTAGTAACAAATTGACCCTCTAGGGGGCAGTGCCACTTTTGATGGGAGATGAGCATAGACTGTAGGCAAATAAGAAAAAGGGAACGGTTCTATGAGAGAACATGTCGCCGGTGAGACGCAAGTCCAGGAAGAACGGAATAAGGTAGAAACACATTTTTTTTCCTGATGAAAGAAGAGAGTCTACTCTTTCTTTTGGTGTGTTCGGTGTTTACATAGTCATAGCACAAACTATTCTGTGGCTCTTGAAAAATCAGTCAAAATGCTAAAAAAACTCAGTATGGGACTCTGTTCTGAAAATGGCTGCCAGTCAATGAGTTAAAAAGGAGAAACAGGTTTTAGAGACAGAGAGAGAAAGAGCGGGGGGGCAGAAAAGAGAAAAAAAAAGCTTTTTTTGACACAGGTGCTGATCTAAGGCTGGAGAAGGAAGAGAAGAAGAAATGAACAGAAGGAGGAGGAGAAGGAGGAAGATGTTCAGAGCACCCCTGAAGTCACTGATGCCCACTACCTGCCCACTGCACTTTTGACCGCCACAGGTCAAAGGTCAAAGCTAAAGAGGGAAGTCTGTGTCAATGACATGAAGTTAATACTTTAGTCATCCCCTTTTGCTTGCTCGCCAAAGAAGAATCAGGACATAAAACATCCATCCATCCATTATCAATACCGCTTATTCCCTCATGGGGTCGTGGGGGGAACTGGAGCCTATCCCAGTGGTCAACGGGCGAGAGGCAGGGTACACCCTGGACAGTCCACCAGTCCATCGCAGGGCCACACAGAGACACACAAGGACAAACAACCACACACACTCACATTCACGCCTAAGGGCAATTTCCCCAATCTCCAACCAACCTAACATGCAGGTTTTTGGACTGTGGGAGGAAGCCGGAGAACCCGGAGAGAACCCATGCAGACACAGGGAGAACATGAAAACTCCACCCAGAAGGGTCCTGGTTCCCCCGGGATTCGAACCCAGAACCTCCTTGCTGGGAGGCGACATTGCTAACCACCACACCACCGTGCCGCGCTGCATATTAAACAATGCTAGCTAAAAAGAAAAAAGAATAAAAAAAGCTGAAATTCACAGTAAACGTATTAATATCAAAGTATTAGCGAGTAGATCCAGTACTAACGAGCGGAGTTCAACCCCGGCGCGTGCTTTTGGGCCGTGTGAGCAGCGACAGCTGGGACACAGACACGCTAAAGCACCTCTGCAGCTGCTGGAACCAGACTCCCCCGCTGCCGTTCTCACGCTGAGCCACAATCCTCACATAAGCCCCACGATTTGCCGTGATGGTGACGCGGTCCAGAGCCTGAGGGGGACCGGGGCCTTCACTATCTGGGCCTCTGCGGCTGGAAATGAGCCGGCCTGAGATCTGTTCCGTGCTAAATAAAGCAGCAGATAGAGCCCTGAGGGTTTACTATGCTGATGTTTTTCTGCTTTTACATTAGATGTAATGCCGTATTTTTAACTAAATTTAAAATACAAACAATCTGACATTCACAGATACACAAAACGCCAATTTTCCAGATCTGTGTCTATAGCACTTGGACGTGTAGCTGGGCTGGAGATTAAATTACCACCAATGAAAACCAAACCCTCTAAAGGGGGCACGGTATGAATCTTTTGCTCCCAAAGAAATCTGAGCCCTCAGATAACTTTAATAGCTTAATCGTTATCCGTAAAGGATTAAGATGAATCGTATCTGAAAGTTTTTATTACGCTGACTGCCAAAGGCTCCTCTCAACGCCAACAAAGCAGTAAACAAGCCGGTCTCAGCCCACATTTCTCATTTCTTTTATTGAATATAGAGTAGTGCCTCTGAGATTGCTGGAGAGGAAAGTAAAGAAACAAATGGAGCCTCAGAGGAAAAGCTTCCCGCTTTCCTTATGGATTCAAATAAATGAAACAGGTCAATAGATATTACATAAAGACAGAGACGGGACGTGGGAGATGGACTGACCTGATGGAAAATGGACAGGTGAAGGGTGTGTCCCCGTCCCTCTGGTCAGCCAGCATCTGCAGCAGCCGCCCGATGACCTTTATCAGCCCCTGGACATTTCTGTTCATATCGTAAGGAAAAAAAACATATAGAGGAGTTCATCATCCACAGAATATGAGTTTAAAAAAAAAAAAACTGTACTGTTGAAGATAAAAAGAGATAAAAAATGTTCCAGCCTCTGAAAAAGGAGGAAACACAGAACCTGGTTGGAAAAGTGCATTCTATGCATAATGGAGGCACATCCAGAAATCCTCTTTTACATAGTAGGAGAACATCTTTTCATCAGCTAACCTCACAGGAGATACAGAATATCAGAGATGTTTTATTCCTTCTCCATAAGTGTATTCCACTTGGTGTAAAACAGTAACTACACAGTTATTAAGGGTTAATAACCCTCCATCCACCTCATCTACAGCAGATGCTGCATTCACTGCAACTCTAAATAAAACTATTTTACGCTCTTTCTGTTCTGTTATTCACATTAAATTTCAAAATGACATACTTATTTAATCTAAGCGAAGAAATAAACGTGCACATGATACTCGTGGTACACGCAGCATTTTGCCTCACGAATACATTAATACCAAAATCGGATTTGTCAGAAAACAAAGTAGTACACAGTAGTACAAAACCATCAACAATCCCACTGACAAACCAACTTTTTCTAAAAAGAATATTTTTTGTGCCCGCAAGTGCAATAAGGCTAAAACTAATTCAGAAATCTTCATGGAAACATGTTACGTGTGTTAGAAGTTGCTTAAAACACAATAAAAGACTCTGAATTGAAATAAATGATCATGTCTGACTATGAATAATTTCATAATTTCATTATTTTCAAAGCTAAAAAGCTTGTATTCACTGATGAATCTCAAACTAATTGAATCAATCAACACTTTATAAATCTACAAAAGTTTGCTGCTTTAAAAGAAGTAATTTGTTACTGTTAAAATATGACGGGTATGACAGAAAGGAGCTAATGTGGATGTGATAAACCCCCCCCCCCTTTAGATGGTGCAGACTCCACTCTCCATCCCAGACTTTTAAAGGCTCTTGCTGTGCAGAAACTGCAGAAGCCGAGCCTCCTGAAGATGTCCAGTCTGCTCTGTCCTGCCCTGCCTGGACACGGAACAGCCTGGGTGTTCCATTTCGAAAACTCAGAGAGTAAACTGCTGAAAATGGATGCAAATACACCTGGAATTTTCTCGTTTGAATGAGCCCAGACTCTGAGTCATGCTCTGTGGAGTGACTTTCAGAGGGCTGTGTACCTGGCCTTCCAGAAACAGCTGTGGTCAGCAGATGACGGCTTGACCAGTGCAGAGCCACAGGTAACAGCGGCTCCTATGTTTAACCTACTGCCTTTAGGACCTCCTACTGGAGTCAGACAGGATGTAAAAGAGTGCATGAGCTTACAGCTGTGCACGGCTGTGCTGAGCTCACTGCTGGTGTGGCCGGCAACCCCACCTAATGACTGACCCCCACACGCCCGCCATGAGAGGTAGGGATGGGACGGTTTGTGAAACCCGTGTGAACCGTTGGGTTCTGTCTCGGTTGGGTTGGCGTGTGTTGGTTGGGTTCCTGCTACTCCTTTTTCTCAGAGGGAAGCGTTTACACTCCAGAGCAGAAGGGGGCGCTACTGCGCCCAAAGCCAACCACCAGTAGGAAACAAGAAGAAGAAGAAGAAGCAGCGTAGCCCATAAAAATCAGACCCAGCAGCAGTTTCTAGGTCTGCTGTATGGACCAGTTTGCATTTAGAGGGAAGCACATGTTGGAATTAGCACTGTTTCCTCTCCTAATGCCAGAATCTCACCTACTTTTAACCTAAGAATGTCACAATAATGTATCAAATGTCAGACTGCTTTTTTATTTCAGTTTTAACCTGACTATACAAGACATAATAGATTTTCCTAACAATCACCATATACCGAACCGAACCGAAAACCGTGACCACGGAACCGTGAATCAAACGGAACCGTGGATTTTGTGAACCGTCCCACCCCTAATGAGAGGAGATGGTTAACAAAGGTGCCAATGAGCCAAGTTTAACATGCCGACTGAGCCGTTCCAGTCCGGTGGGGTGGCTGAGTACTCAGTCCTCCTGCCTCTGCTCTGAATTTGAAAGCTCTGGTGACCCTGGCGTTACAGTGGCGCGTACCTGGCGGAGGGCAGGAGGTTGAGCACGCTGTTGAGGGTGTGCTGGAGGTCGGCGTGGCCCTGCTCCACCAGCAGCACCACGGCATCGCAGCAGGACGAGCGCAGCAGGGCGCAGTCCCCGCAGCACTGCTGCCACAGGGCCTCCAGCGCAGGGCCCTGAACGCACCACCAGCACAGCACAGCAAACACACTCACAGGTCTGAGCCGGCTCAGAATCACCATGTCTTTAAGACAGTGTTTTTCAACCTTTTTTGAGCCAAGGTACATTTTTTCATTGAAAAAAACCACGAGGCACACCAGCAACCAAAAATGTCAAACAAATCTGTATCTGCCTATAGTAACACTATAGTTATTCTTATCTTATCTTAAGTGTCTTGAATAGGAATCAAATAAACACAAAAATGTATTTTATATCATATTTTATATTTCGTCTTTCAAATTGCTCTTCATATGTCCACTTCAATATACAAAATGATATACAAAATCTAGTCATAAGGAATTATTACATGATTACTCCACCAGTCACTAGAACAGCACACACACTCAAAAATGGCACATTATCTGCAGATAATTAATTCCTTATCGAAAAATCTTTTTAGACCAATGAGGTGAAATAGGATGATTTTCTACGGCACACCTGACCATCACTCACGGCACACTAGTGTAGCGAGGGACAGTGGTTGGAAAACACTGCTTTGAGAAACTACATTGTTGCTGAACTCACCTGGCTGTGGGATTGGGCGATTTGCCCATTTGATCCCTTTTCCTTCAGCACGGCAGCTACAAGATGTCTCACCGCCTTGAAAAAGAGAGAGAGAGGGCACACAAACACGGCCATCAACAGACACAGGAGATAGGTTATGGTCAGGTGAGACTAAAGATGCAGGAGGGCTTGTTTTATGTACTGTAAACCTCTGAAATCTGCACTTTTTGAAATACTACCTTGAGTCAAGAGAGGTAACAAAAAGCATTCAGAGTCACCTGGGCTTGGATGACGGGGCAGGGGAAATCAAACCGAGTCTTCAAATTCTCCGTCATGGCTGCGGCTCATGCCTGAGAGCGGTCCCAATCCCTGTTATAAAGAGGTCACAACACCAAAGGGTTCAACATTTGACATGCAAGGAAAGCTTTTGGAGCCTGCTGACTGGCTGAGGAGAATGACATCATAGCTGAGCTGGGCTGCAGCAACCCGTGGCTAAACGGCACTAATGGACAGAACATTCCGGGTGTAGTGGCTAAATGTCCTTTCTTGGCTGGTGACCATTTCTTCTCTTTGACGAATGCAAATAACCACTCTTTCAGACGGAAAGAAACGAGTCTACGCGTGTTAAGGTTTTAACGACGGTAGAAAACGGTGTATTCACCCCGTCTTTACTGAACATTCTAAACAGACAAAAAACATACGTTTACATTCAACAAAAGCGCGAGCTCTGAACGTTATCGCTCAGCGTCAGTTTCTATTGGCTACTTAGTCAAGATCATTTTAAACATTAAAATAAATGCAGACTAAACTAAAATCAATTATAAATTAGCAAAGCAATAACTTAGTAAACTACAATCATAAATATTCTATGAAAACATAGAACCAAAATCATCCAAAATAATAACTAAACATGAGCATAAATGACTCCATAGAAAATGGCACCAACACCGGGTATGGCACTGTTTGGAGACATTTAGGGAAAACTGACTCCGACGGGCGTTATCAAATCAGTGGCCTACCAGCATGGCATTATTTTTCATCAATTATTTACGAGTAAACAGGGCAGCTTCCCGCTCCCATTAGCAGGTCCTGTCTTGGACTATAAGCCTTATGCTGGTGTCCACAGGCTGGCTGGAGCCTCAGCATGGAAAAGCGTGATCCGTTGACATACTTAAGGAGAGCGAAACACAAACAGGAAGTGTTGTCTTTGCTTTGGCGTTTGTTTGGCTGCAGACGGGGTGAACTGAACTCCAGACCTTTCACACTTTGCCTCCTCAGCTCATCTAACTGGTGTAAATCAGTCAAAACTGCAACTCATCCATTCAAAATGTTGGGGGATAAAGTTTCCGCCACTCTGCGATGCCGAAGCAAAGAAATGAAGCATGGGAATAGTGTTTTTATTTTTGGCAGTCTTCCCCTGAACGGTGCGGGTTCATCCATTCAATATTCCCCAGGAGGCAGGCCAGTCCGGGACCTGTCCTCAAGTCTGTGTCACGTGTTTGACATATCGTTCTGAAAAAGGCATGGATGTCCTCTTTCATGCTCCCACTCATCCGGCTCTCTAGAAACACGGCTTTGACATTTGCCATTTGACAATGCTTTGGCACAAGGAAGATAAGCCGTGCATGGGATAACCCCTGCCACCCCCTCCCCAAACACAGACGCCCAACCCAACCCCCCCTTTCTGTTATCTAACTGATAAGTCCGCCTGCTGCCCTGTGCTGTGCACCTCCCCGCTCCAGCGCTGGCCTCACTGGTTCCACTGCCACTCAGCTTCATGGCCACGTAGAAGAGGTAAGTCCCCAGCACCTGCTAATGCACATATTTGCTCTAGACGGACTCTAGACAGCACCAGGACTCACCAACTGTGGGTTTGAAGCAACGTGGCCTTATACTATTTCAACATATTGAATATTAGGAATCTACTCATAGAAGAAAGCATCTAAAATCTAAAGGTTTGGTTAGTTTGGTTTAGAAGTATCTGTTTTTACTTAAATCAAAATGCCATCAGAGGTCTTCTAAATATTTAATTTAGTAAGTTTATGCATCCAACAGTTCCAGCAGCTTCTACAGCATATTTACCTCACAGCCAAACAATATAGGCTGGCTTGTACTGCAAGCTCTGCATTAGCAATACAAGCCAGGACAAAGCAGCAACAGTGTTGAGCCAACAGGCGCTTTAGAAATAACCCCAGCGAGGCTTTAGGGTGGGACGCCCGCCGCTAACAAACTGCACACAGTACACTCTGGGCTTTCCATGCTTTTCACACACACACACACACACATTTATGTCTGAGCTATTACTCAGTGAAAAAAATAAACAAGTACAGAGAACCTAATCCTGCTCTGTAGTTAAGTATGACCAGGAAGTTTGTGGCTGTGTTTGTGTGTGGTTCTCTGTTTCCAGTACCTTCTCATAAACATATATATATAAATATATACACACACACACACACATTTATCTATCTATCTGAAGGGGGGCTGGAACCCTATTGCTGGGAGGCCACGGTGCAGTGCGCATGCGTGTACGTGAATCCAGTCATTGTAATACTAAATAACTTCATATAAAGTTGACTGATTTGTTTCGGGAACTAATCGTGTTTCTTACGCCGACTTCGTTTACAGAGCCCGGAAAGAGATTCAACTAAAAACCCTTTGTGAAAATAAGGCGACACTATCCTAACTTTATGATTTATTTGTCATTAAAAACAATAACGGGCTGTTAAATGAGCTGTAGTCAGGTTAGCCTGAAGCTGACCCGGCTAAGAGTCTATAACCGAGTTATCACCATGTGCTACTGGCAGCTTTAACCAAGTGAGATTTACTCATAATTTATGTTTACTCCAGCCTTCGTCTAACTCGGTTTGACTGGGTGACATAAATATCTCGCTCTTAACAACAGACATTGTGGATATTGCTAGCAAACTTTACCTCGGTCTATCGGTCTCCGGCAGAAGCGTAGCGCCACATGAAGTACGGTAAGTATTGAGGGCCAAAATTGTAAGACATAAACATAGCGCATTCTCTCAGTGTGTCAATGATGACGAGACTGAAGTTGAAATAAACTCTAAATATTGGACCATGACATACGTACACTGCAATATGGAGAATAATAATGTTAATAGTGCTTAACTGTGATGAATTGTTATTATTATTATTGATGTTTTCGCTGTCGTTTATTCATTTGACTTAATCAGTCTCAGTTTGTCATGTCAACTGTGCATTTGACAATATTTGGGGGGAAAAGAATTAACTGAAATAGGAATATATTATTTTTTTTATTGTTTCAAGTTAATGTCCATTTGGTGTTATCTATCTAAAATACCCATTCGATTGTAAACTTGCTTACGCTAATTTTATGGACAAATGAAAAGCTCAGATACCGAATTAAAACATTAAACGTCTCATAGAGTCACGTTAAATTGTCAAAATAATTGTTGGTTTTCCCTGGGGACATGAAGGCAACGTAATTACAGAAAGGTTGCGGCCACCTGATAGGAGACTAGTGTATCTGCTCTTCCCTTATTGGCTGATTGCATCTCGTGCTCTCTCTGCGGCCCCAGCGGGTACACCACGCTGCGCGTGCGCTTTATCCCTCAGACGCGTCAAGGATGTCGAATCAAGCTGGGAGGGGAACGGAAACAAGAAGATTTTACTCTCAAAATAAAAGCCTTGGCGTTTGAATTAAATTGCCCGGACGTCTTTAGTAACCCGCTCCCCCCAGTTTTCTACTGATAACCACGGTGTCACTCATTTCTTACAAAAGTAAAAAGTTGTGTTTGTTGCATATTTTGTTTAGTTTTCTGATCTTTTATGTTCTTCAGAAAGCGTTGTTAAATTGTTGATTGGAATCAAATGCATAGGATTGCATACAAAGTGGGAAAATGTAGGTTTCAGCAACAATAGCAACACTGCGTTAGGCAATGCGAGTGCCGCAAAGTGTCAAGAATGCACTCAATACTTGGCGTGTGAACTGTTTATTCACAAAAAGTCGTATGCAGAACGTTAGTTGATGTGTGAATGACTTTTTTTTATCTTTTATTTTTGTTCTTTTAAGTCGTGTGTTTTAAAGTCATTAGTCATTCATATCTGTAAGAGAGATGAAGGATTGACAACAACATTTGCAACTCATGTCGATAATGACTGCAAAATAAATACAGTAATGTGGTGCAAAAGTAAGCGGGCACCTGAAAATAATTGGGCGTGGATCGTGCGTGCTCCGGTAGAGCGGGCAGCTTTTATTTGTGAAGCACACACCGGAAGTGAAGCAGTTTATTGTGGGGAATTGACCGCCGGCGAGTCTTTGAAAGTCTTCAGTGTGACTTCAGTCCAGGAGAGACTATGTCCGCCGTCGTAGGCAAACTGTACTCACGTCTAATCTCATTTCAAATTAATTCTCCATGAAGTTACAGTAACGTGGGGCCTCCAGGATGGCCAACTCGGTGAGTACCCCGCCAGAGACTTTGCTTAGTCCGTCCGTTTTTAGCGAATTTTGGCCCCTTTAATTCGGCCGTTTGGTCACATCGAAGGGCTCGGTGCTTTTGCTCCGTTACGAGGATTTTTAAGCAGCACGGTTAGCTTCAGTCCGTAAGTGCCTGTTGTCAGCCAAAGGCGAGGTTCCGCGAAAAACCCTCGGACTTTAGATATTCAGCCGACAACGACTACACCCCTCTGTATTCACTGAATACTGTGCGGTTATTTTAGCTGGTTATAGTCCATCATTCAACTCGGCCGCACGGTCCACCTAATTTGTGACATGACTAAGCGCCAACATTTGGGACATGTCAACTTTCCCTCTCGTGCTATCCGTCTCGTGTAACAGCGGTTTTTCGTTGTCATAGAAAGTAAAACGTTGTAACTCACTGATAGAATAGAAGTTAAAACGTGCACAGATAGCGCCTGTGTTCAGGTTGCACTTTAAGGCTTTAAACAATATTTAGAAATGCTTGAGTATCGCTTGAATTTGGATTGTTGCATTTAAAATTCCGCCGTTTGAACCCATTTCAGCACTAGATTGTGCGCGAGGAAACAAAGCGCGAGTTCAAGTTAAAGTAGCGCCCCGTAGCCGGGAACGAATCCCGCTGTGTAGCTTACAGAAACACGGTCCATTTTTGTGTTTGCTGTTGTTAATTCGGTTGTTTGCGGCAGTTTGTGAGAACCGGCTGTGTGCTGTGGTCCCTCAGGGCGCTGTTCAGGTGAAACTGGAACTCGGACATCGCGCCCAGGTCAGGAAGAAACCCACCGCGGAAGGCTTCACGCACGACTGGATGGTTTTCGTCCGAGGGCCGGAGCACAGCAACATCCAGCACTTTGTGGAGAAAGTGGTTTTTCATCTGCACGAAAGCTTCCCGAAACCAAAAAGAGGTAAATC